TTGGCATTGCAGGGGTGAGACTGTAGGTAGGATGAGGACAAAAAAGTGATTCCTTTGTACTTGTAACCCAACCAAATTATTGTTTAGTTTCTGTGAGTAGGCAATTGTGAACAGATGAAGAAATGCTTAAATACCTTGGTGTAGTATTATTTACAGTATAAGTATACCCATCCAAAATAAAAATAAAAAAATTTAAAAAAAATTGGTGTGCTCTTTCAGTGTACCTCAGAGCAAAAGGTCACGATTTACGTTATTTCCAATAAGTTTTCTGTTTGAGAATGATTTAATTTAGACTGCGTGTGATTGCCATGGATGAACTGTCACAAGATAACACATTTATATTATATCAATAAATGTGTATCTCGTCATATTTACATTGATTAAATGTTCCAGGGAGCAGACAAAACGAGTTAATGGACGGTTACTAACTCCCGATGTGTACAAACAGTGCGGTAGTTTGCTAATGGTGTATTGTATGAAGTGCATTATTTGTAATAAACATCGCCCTTTATGTGTTTTGGCGTGCACTGCCTTTTGGTAGTATTTTATGTTTGTTCCACGGATTTAATCAAAGTCGGCTCTGGGACAGAAAACTTTACAAAGTGGAATGAGAATGCTCTGTATGGGACCATGTTACAATGTTTCCGGCGCGTGCGGAATGTTTTGGATCAACATTTCAATGATGTGAATTATGCCCATAACATTTCCACTAATTGTGCAAACACTTTAGGATTTTAAATACATCTAAATTAGCAAATGTAAAACATATATACGTTGCTTTTATAGCATTTGCTCTGCCTTTTCCAACTGCCTGCTGTAGGATTTATTTACTAAATTGTGCAAAACTGAAATGGAACAGTAATATTGAGGTGAAAACAGCTGTAAATATAAGCAAGACAGATTTAAATAATTATTATTATTATGATTATTGTTTAATCAACAACATTGTCAATTCACTGTTTACTAATTCCATTTATTTTTGAAGTGTGATATTAGAAGCCAACAAAGAGCAAGTTATTTTAAGCTTTTTGATGGTTTACCTTGTTGTGCAACACTGGGGTGCACAATAAATACAAAAAAATCATAATGAAATGTACATTATCAAGAGCTACTGACTGGCTTAGAGCGTCTGCTGACCACTCTAGCCAATCAGCGGCACCCCTCTCCGGCGGCTCTCCAAAACAATTCCAGAAGCCAGATACTGCTGGAATGCAGCTTTAAGGTTTAAACTGTTTGAGAATGATTTAACCTCTTAGGGTAGGAAAGCGCCCATGGGCCTCCTGGCACAAAGCCAATTTCATTCAGATGACTAGTGGTAGGGTAACAGCTTCTTAATCCAAGAATAAATCTGACTGTCTTGCTGGGGTCAAGAGGGCCTTTTTTCCCTAGTTTGTTGCAAAATTGGAAGTGCTTCAAACTGAGGTTTTTTTGCATTCTTTTGAATCTAAAGCAACAGGATGTGAGGAAGGCTGGACTTGATGGACATCAGGTCATAGTCACTGTCACGTGCGTGGGCTATAGGCCCAGCCGAGACAGTGGGGAGAGTGTGGAAGTGACAGGGTTAATGACACCAGACTCCTGGTTACCTGTTGCTAGTCCCAGCAACCACTCAATTAACCCCTGCAATCCCTTCTACACTATCCCCTTTAGTACTACTGCCACCACCAAGACTTTTAAACCTGGGCGTCTTAGGTTACCCCACACACAGGAGAATTCTAGTATCACCGTTCTACTTTTACTGATAAAACATATATAGTTAACCCTTTTTGGTAACGTGTTTACCTGAGCTTTCCTCTGGAGAGTGAAGCTCATAGAGAACAGAGACACAAGCTGATTAAGTAAACATTTAATCTGACAAAAAGGATTCACAGTGCTGAGTACAAAATACAGAAATAAATGACATACAGATAACAAATTGCAAAACAGTACATAAAATAAAATAGGAGAAAACACAAGAAATTCCTTGCATATATTTACCCCATATAGAATTCTTGTGGGAGTCTTAGATGGTATAGGGCTCCTAGAAGTTACTGACAAAAAGAAAAATGAATAACTGACTTCCCTGGATAGTCCAACACCCTCATATATCTAAACTAGTTGTTTCTCAGTGGGCAGACCCCTGGGGGGGGGATCAGAGGGGGCTGGTCTGGCAGTCTATTGCCCACTCTATGAAATTCCTTGTGTCCAGCTCTGGTGATGGCTATCTAGATGTTTTATGGTCTAGGCCTGGTGCAGGATCAAAGACCACAATAAATGTCATCCCAAGGTTTACAAAAAAACTACTCTTAACATATATAAACACACATCAAACACCAACTCATGCTTTTGACATGACAGTCACTAAGTTACGGTATGAGTTGATCTGCACCACCCCCCCTCCCAAACGTTGATGTTTTGGTCAAAATGTTGCAATTGAACTGCCAATTCACCATACATCACTGCTTAGTGACTAAGATTCGGTAAACTATAAATATTTAAAGGACCACTCTAGGCACCCAGACCACTTCAGCTTAATGAAGTGGTCTGGGTGCCAGGTCCAGCTAGGGTTAACCCATTTTTTTTATAAACATAGCAGTTTCAGAGAAACTGCTATGTTTATAAATGGGTTAATCCAGCCTCTAAAGCCAGTGGCTGTCTCATCGACAGCCGCTGAAGGCGCTTGCGTGATTCTCACTGTGAAAATCACAGTGAGAAGACGCAAGCGTCCATAGGAAAGCATTGTAAATGTTTTCCTATGAGACCGGCTGAATGCGCTCGCAGCTCTTGCCGCGCGTGCGCATTCAGCCGAAAGGGAGGAGAGGAGGAGGATTGGAGGAGGAGAGCTCCCCTTCCGGCGCTGGAATAAAGGTAAGAGGTTTAACCCTTTCCTCTCCCCAGAGCCCGGCGGGAGGGGGACCCTGAGGGTGGGGGCACCCTCAGGGCACTATAGTGCCAGGAAAACGAGTATGTTTTCCTGGCACTATAGTGGTCCTTTAAACTGAATGCATTTTGTTTCCCCATAACCCTTGTTTTGTATCTAATGAAATCTTGCAGAAATACAAACTTAGTGTGAAGGAAAGATCATGGTATCTTATTCACAAACAAATCCGTTCATTATTAATCCAATCCTTTCACATATTATCTACATAAAATGACATTAAATGCTGTAATTCGACTTGACAAGTTGGGATTTTACACGGTTCACCTTCTCTAAAACTGCTACAACCCTTCTTCCAGATTGATTATACCGGCTCAGTACAAGGAGCGAAAGAGGAATCATAGCAATAAATTCCAAATAAATTCTATCCTGTGGATTTTTTAAAATCTTTTTTTAATATTAACTTATATTTTAAGCACAGAGAACGTTTTTGTTTTTACAGTGAAATAGATGTCCAATTTCATTAACTTTTTTTTTTTTAATATTTGGGGTTTATCAACTAAACTCTGCCTAAAAATTTCGAAAACGTAGGCCTAAATATCCAGCTTGGAAAAAAAATTCAGTTTGGTTTTATCTTGGTTATTTTACCCTGATTTGTCCAATTATCTTTTCAATTAGCCACATTTATTTATTTTGTTCTGTATAGTAAAGTCATTAACATATTATCGGACTACCCTGCCAATAACATTGTTGAATCAGCAGCACAACTCAGATACAGTGTGCCGGAAGCCGCCCACCCCACCGCACAGCCCTTGTCATTGGGTTAACCCCTTAAAAGCCAGGGATAATGCAAATATCATGTCATGTCAGGTATTTCACTGATTTGTTTAAATCCTCATCAGAATGAATGGAATAAAGGAAGATTTTGCCTAGATTAGTAAAAAATTATTTGCATCGGCTATTTCTAAAGAAGAAAAAAAAACTGTTAAACTTTAACAATTAGCATGTTTTTATTTTAGCAAAACAGCTCTGAGATTTAATTCAAACAGTTATACCTGATTTACAGGTTTTATGGTTGAAGAAGACATTGCTTCTTAAAGGACCACTATAGGCACCCAGACCACTTCAGCTTAATGAAGTGGTCTGGGTGCCAGGTCCAGCTAGGTTTAACCCGTTTTGCTGTAAACATAGCAGTTTCAGAGAAACTGCTATGTTTACATTTGGGTTAATCCAGCCTCTAGTGGCTGTCTCATTGACAGCCGCTAGAGGCATTTCCCACTGTGATTTTCACAGTGAGAATACGCCAGCGTCCATAGGAAAGCATTGAGAATGCTTTCCTATGAGACTGGCTGAATGCACGCGTGGCCCTTGCCGCGCATGCGCATTCAGCCAATGACGCAAGAAGAGGGAGGAGAGTCCCAGCGCCGAGGGAGCCCAGCGCTGGAAAAAAGGTAAGGGATTAACCTCTTCCTCCCCCTGTTTTCCTGGCACTATAGCAGTCCTTTAACCCCTTAACGACGAGTGGGATTGCCATAACGACGAGTGACGGACCTTGTCCGTCACCCGTTAAAATTAACCCCGGATCGCCGCTCTAGCGGCGTTCACAGGGTTAATGGTGCTCCAGTCTGCCTCTGTATCAGCCTGTCAGAGCGAGCACATGTGCTCAGTATACTTACCTTGCACCTCCCTGCACTTCCTGGTTCTGTGTGAAGTGCATTTTTTAATAAAAATAAATTAATTTATTTTTAATTACTTTCCTTGACCTGCACTAATTATGCACACATTATTATTACAAAAACTGTAAAAAAAAAAAAAAAATTCATTTTTTTTTGCATTTTTCTGTATTTTGTTATAATAAATAAACATTTATATATATGAGTGTTACATCAAATTAAAGCCCATTCTGTCCTTTAAAAAACGATGTATAATATGTGTTGGTGCAATAAATTAGTAAAATGCAAATTGCAGTTGAACGCAAACAGCAAAAAATGAAAAAAAAATGATGTTGTCATTAAGTGAAAGACAAGCTTCTGAAGCTCTGTCCTTAAGGGGTTAAACACTTACATCGCAGCCCTTTCAAATTTTTATGAAAACAATGGCGGGCAGAGGAGATAAAAATCCCAACACTTACCCTGTGAAGTATTCAGCGCCAGAAATTCATAGAATAAATGGAACCTGAAAAATGAATGAAAACATTTGGTTAAACACATTTACTGATACCGCTGTTCTCTGCAATAAAAAAGATCATTCAGGTAACACATTCATGGTTATTCACTCCCATTCCGTGAGAATCAAAGTCTGTAAAGTAAAACTCATTACGGACAATCTGAGGGAATCTAGTTACTACCATCTGGACTACAAGAAAGCTGATGAACGGACAAGAATGGGACTGTAGCCCCTCTTTATGCTACCGAATGCTTGATACATTGGACCAAATGCTCAAAATTACTTTAGTGATTTGAAACGGTCAAGGAGTCTATATGTGCATTAGATCAGTTTGAAACGCTGCATATATGGAGTTTGACACCTGTGCTGCCAAAGGTGTAACTCCAACTTCAGCAGCGTCACTGGGATGTCGGCAGCCAGGCTGGAACTATAATGGTGACAACATTGGTTTCCAGAGCTCTGCAGAAGTCAGAAGCACATCACCAACCCACCAATGAGCCTCGGAGCCCAGCTGGGACCTGGCTAAAGGGCAAACTGTTTCTAAAATGGGGCCATTTATTCAGGGTACTTCCCACAACATAACCTCTAAATCTGGCTGCAGTGGTTATGGTGCTTGGAATAAATGAGGTTATTTTGTATCACTTCAAGTTCACAGAATGCAAGTCCACCTGCCATCTTCTCATTTAAGGAAAATAATGCACTTAAGTATATTTAAAACCTATATACCGTATATACTCGAGTATAAGCAGAGTTTTTCAGCACATTTTTTGTGCTGAAAAAGCCCCACTCGGCTTATACTCGAGTCGGTGTCTGTATTATGTCAATTTACATTGCAAGCCCGGCGGTGCTGTTGGGGGCCGGCAGGAAGTGTTTACTTACCTTTACAGCAGCTCCTTGTAGCTCCTGTCAGCTCTCCTGTTCAGCTCACAGTGTAAGTCTCGTGATACCCGCAGCCGTCAGAGCGTTGCCAGCCCCCCCACTGCACAGCCCATCCACTGGACCACCAGGAATTGCCATAGCTCCCCTCCCTGGCCAGGTTTTAAGCAGGGAGGGGGGACAAAAAAAAATCATTTTATAATATTAAAATAAAAAAATAAAATATTGAAATAAAAAAAATATTAAAATAAAAAAAGAATATTAAAAATAATAAAAATGCCCTCCCCCCACCTAGTTTACACACACACTACACAAACACACACACTCTGCATTATATACTCACAGAGTGTGTGTGTGTGTGTGTATAGAATGCAAACACTCTGCATTATATACACACACACTCATACAAACACACACTCTGCATTATATCCACACACACTCTGCATTATATGCACACACACTCAGCATTATATGCACACACACTCATACAAACACACACTGCATTATATATACACACACACACTCATACAAACACACACTCTGCATTATATACACACACACACACACTCATACAAACACACACTCTGCATTATATGCACACACACGCATACAAACACACACTGCATTATATACACACACACACTGCATTATATATACACACACACACTCAGCATTATATACACACACACACATTCATACAAACACACACACTGCATTATATGCACACACACTCATACAAACACACACTCTGCATTATATACACACACACACACACTCATACAAACACAAACTCTGCATTATATGCACACACACGCATACAAACACACACACTGCATTATATACACACACAAATTGTGCATTCATTATATACACACACTACACACAAACACACTCTGCATTAATTATATACACACACTACACAAACACACACTGCATTCATTATATACACACACTACACAAACACACACACTCTGTATTCATTATATACACACTACATTCATTATATACACACACACTACACACACACACTCTCTGCATTCATTATATACACACACTGTAAATAAATATTCAATTAATATAATTTTATTGGGATCTAATTTTATTTAGAAATTTACCAGTAGCTGCTGCATTTCCCACACTAGGCTAATACTCGAGTCAATAAGTTTTCCCAGTTTTTTGTGGTAAAATTAGGGGCCTCGGCTTAATTCGGGTCGGCTTATACTCGAGTATATACGGTACCCACTCTGGCTTGTAAACTCTCGAATTATAAAATAATCCTTCTAACAAACCATTGAATAATTAAAACCACCACAACCTCAGGCAGATAAAATTAAGGACTTCAACCGCTCTTTGTATAGAGATGGTGAGTGGATCCAAGCTTGACCAAGTATCTTCATGGATCCAGGACCCTAAGCAGGTGCCTTATGATTAATCCCAGTATGAAATGAACGCTTTATTAATGTGTCGGGCATAATAAACCCCCAGTTGTTGATAGAAAATAAATCCACACACAAAAAAAAACACCAAAGAGAATGCATGCACAGTCTCCATGCACCATGACAAGCACAAAAAGCTATTGTGGTTTTGGTGCCAGCGATGTCCCTTTAAGAAGACTTATGTACATTCAAAATTCTTCAGTTCATTCAATAACAGATAAAGCATCGTATTGCCACTGCAGAACCATTTTTATAATGCTCAGCAGAGTGACAATTCTTAAAATTAAAACAGCAATTAGCAAAGGATAATTGCCCTAAGTTTATTGTTTGTTTAGAATACATGCGCCACTTCTTGCAGAATTCTTATCCTATCACTTTCCCTGGTCAATTCATGTTCAGACAAATACCATTTCAAAGCCACATTTAGACAGCCATTAAGAATTTTTTTTTCCATCGATTTATTCTTTGTTTAATTGCACCAAATTTACATCTCTTTGCACTAAATTCCATGTGCCAGATGTCAGCTTTGTAACGCTCCAGGCTTATAGTCCGTCTCCATAATACCCAACGCTCGCTGTATTCAGCCTGTCACATGGGGGTCATTAAAACACCACAATGGGTATTTTTGCATCAAGGAACAAAAATATGCATGTAAAGCGAAATCACCTGAAATTCTATGGGTTACTTTTTAGGAGAGAAATGGGAAACCCTTCACCACAGCAATACATATGCCCAAACCACTGATGGGTAACCTTTACACCCCAGAAGAATAAAATTTCCTATGATGTTCAGACAACTTTAAAGGGACACTCCAGACACCTGAAGCACTTTAGCTTGACGTGCTGTACATATGAAGAACATAACCTATTTTTTCCCCATTTTATAAAAAATGTAGATTTAAATAGAAATTGGAACTTTTATAAATTAACTTTGTTACACCCCTCTGGCTGTCAATCAGACAACTGATCCTGTTACTTCCTGGTTTGTTTAGCTCAGTGAAGCTAAACTCAAGAGGCAACAATTGCCCAGAGAACCTGCCTTGCAAAGACTTCGCATTGAGCTGCATTTGGAAGCCACAGAAAGTCTGGGCAGGGTTAGAAGGGGATGACTTGCAAAGGCTGCAGACAAGAGATCTGCAGCTTTGGCAAGCTGTATTCAGATATACCCAAATGAAAAATGCACAATTAAAAAAAATGCATGCATGTTTTCATGGCTATAGATCTACTAAACAGAGATAATTGTTTATTTACTTTAGCAGTGGAATGTCCCTTTAAGGCAAAACACATTGAATGCTGCATCGTCAGGATGAGTCAGACCTAATTTCCATAACCATTCATACATTGTGTTTTTGTGGAGACGGTGGTTATAAAAAAAAAAAACAACAAAAAAACAGATTCTTGAGATTTTTTTTTTTTTTTTAAGATATCTCCACTGGTGGTAATCCGCTGACCAAACGCCTACTCTTATTTGTCATATAAATATTATTTGAACCAGGACCATAACATTATGTCAGCCATTCAGTAAGACTCACCAGTTCTAGAGTGTAAAAAACAATAGAGGGGTCCAGGAGAATTCTCTGTATAGTCTGGGTCTAGATTAGAACATACCTTTATGTAGAGACCCCAAGTACAGCTTTCTTTAGAGTCCTGGAAACAAGACCTGTAATTTCACTTGCTGTTAAAAACTGGGCCCTGGGCCGATTAACCCCATATGACATCCAGAACACGTGTTAGACCTGGTTCCAAATTGCATGTCATGAAGAATGACTCAGGTTACTTACACCAGAGAGTTAAAAAAAAAAAAAAAAACAACATAAAAAGAAAACCTCAGATAGCTACACTAGACTGTAAAAAAATAAAATCTAAGCTAATTTAAAATGTGTGCATCCATATAAGTACATACACTAATTATGTACATCTATTACAATAACCAGATGGCTTGTTAAATATAAACAGAATAGTAACGTAATAAAACGTGTCAAGGAAAAGTCTGACACCTTCTTATTCTTGCATATGTGCAAAGAAGTTTCCTGTGAAATGTAAAAAAAAAACTACAGTGTTAATAAATATATATAAAAAAAAAAGTCACTCTTGGAAAGGAAAAATCTGGGTCATAAAAAACTAAAACTGGCAAAAAAGAACGTCAAAAAATGGGAATAAAAAGAATTCACATTGAATGTTTCCTCTGCGTCAGTTAGATCTAAAGTTGGAGTGACTTCTCGTTCAGTCACGTGGCTCAGTAAAGTTATAAATACAATATATCAGCCGAGCTTAGCTCCAGAGTAATGTTTGATATAGGGCCTTGAGTGTGCAAAATGGTTTGAAGCATATTGCCACAGAATACCACTGCAAAAACCATAACAAAAAACAGTCAACTGCACTAAGGCAGCGACTGATTTTCCTACATTTAGAAGGTCGCTTGGTTTACTGGCGTTCATTTTTCCTTTACTCATAAACAGGACAGTAATAGGAAATAGATTGCAAAAGTAGGACACAAAAAAAACCTCCACAAAGTACTTTAGGAAAGAGAAAACAATTATTATTTTTCCTCGCAGCAAAACTGTGCAACAGTTACCTATGTGTTCGTTAGAAAACAAAAAAAATATTTTTTTTTACTTATTTACGGTTCCAGTTTAAATGTATCAGAGTACATTTTCTCTCCTATAATTGCTTTTTGACCAGGAAATATCTCACCAGGAAATACATAACTTAGAGGGCCACCATAATCACTGTGGATTACTGTTGTAGCACTCTGCAAGCAGTTCTGCCGAGTTCTTGCAGACTATCACTGCCAACCAAACTTTCTCCGATTTGCCTGGTTAATGTAAAAGCTAAACAATGGGCTTTATTCACCAAGCTGTGAACCGTAGTGAAATAAACCGGCTCTGCCACGGGCTTGTGTTTTTTTATTTTGTTTTTTTTGTTTTTTTACGGCTGACCAACCAACTCTAAGTGTCCTCCAAGTTAATTTTGCTTTGGTCTGCTGTTCTTTCCTTTTAGATTATCATTGATTAAGGCATTTTTTATTTTGTTTTTTTTAACTTTTTTTTACTTATTTAGTGCAGTCTTCTTTAGCCTGGCAGTGGCATCTTGTCTCTGCCTTCTTCTGACTTTCCTCTCCCCTGTGCTTCCAATTGTACTCGGCATGCACAGCGCTCGCCCTAAGATCATTACGACATTTGTGCCGAGGGACGCAACGGGAAGGTAAGTATGCTGGGAAATTACCACTTTACAAAGTAAGTGGAGCTTTTCTCAATCTTTGCCTTTTGTCAAATAGACAAAAAATTCATAAAACAAAGCAGTTCCTACTTTTCCTTATATATTTTAAAGAAAAAAATAAGAATGGATCTGGAGACTGGAAAACATGAAGAATCAATTGTTGAAAGGCAAGTTTGGGGTAACAGCAACTTTACATAAAAAGTTACAACTTACAAATCAGTTTTTAAAGTTGCTGCAGTTTTTACATTTAACCTAAGAAGGCAATGAAAAATGAGAAAATTGCAGCCCAGGACCAGACTCCTGATGGCTCTTTCAGGCTTAAAAATTCAATTTCAGACTTAAATTAAAAGCAAGTTAAATTTCCTGGCCTTTAAATTAGTTTCTATAACGTTCACTATGTATAGTTAACTTGAAATCTGTAAAAATCCCGCAGGTGACAGTTCTATTTAATTGTGGTTTTCATTTAGAAGCAAGACAAATGTTTAGAAGATTTTGTTCTTGTTTTAAGTGCCCGTGAACATGAAGTTTAAATTAAAAATACATATATATTACCAATAAAGTATTACTAGAAGAACGTAGGCTCTATATGTAAAGGCGCGTTAACTTTGACTGACGAAAGCTTTTCAACATTCTCATTAAAATTACCTCTACGTTGGCCATTCTGTTCGTAGGACTCTAGTCAATGAAAGTTTATGAATAATGAACATTTCAGGAAACCATGAAACACAGAGGGTAAAAATATTCATGGAATTTCTTCAGTTAATGTGTTTCAATTTGTTATACTTCCAAAAATTACTTATAGTTTGGAGGGCAGCCAAACATCTGCTTTATATGTAGAGTGCGATATACATCCCACAGTCATTCCATAGGCCTCCACTTCTCTCGTGATAAACAATTATTCTTCAACACAAAGTCAAGAAAAATGGACATTCAAAGGAACAATCCTACACAATGAATAGCAAGGCTTACTAACAAAACCCATATGACATCCAGAACACGTGTTAGACCTGGTTCCAAATTGCAAAGGGACAAAGCATCCTCAGTTTGGGGAGCAAAAAAACAAAAAAACTGCAGGTAATGTTGGATCAACACTTGTTTTATTGACTTTTCTTGCACACAGAGAAGTATTGTTTGGGACCTACAGCCTGTGCTCTGCTGTGTGGCTAATTTGGGAAATATACAGAATAAAAAAGGTTGGGGAAAGCTTTGTATTACTGTCACAAAGCAAATCTCGCCTCATTCCCACACATTCGGTGTTCTCATTCATAGTATCACCATCATGGAAGTTTCTTATGGCGGTGTGTGTTTGTATAGTACTAGAGTTCTGTCATTAAGGAATTATAGTACAACTTCACTGTGAAACATAGGGAACCTTTTGAACCAATCTTTTTTTGTTTTTTATTTATGACTTTTTAAAAAAGTTATAGCCAAAGGACATTAACAGATGCCAACATGTCTGGCTTCATCAATCATTTCTAGACTCCTTTAATCTGCTTCATTTGGAAGGAGACTGGCTAAATGGTAAACAATAGTGAATACAAGCAGAATGCATTCAATATCAAAAGATTCCAAATTTGTTCGATCAGTGTGAAAGTAACATATTGACCTTTTAGAAGTGGACTGGGTCCTGATGATTGCAACCTAGCTAAGATATCAGGACACCTGTTTCAAGGGTTTATTAAGTCTCACAGGAGGAGTAATTAGTGGGCTGCCGGATGTTAGCCAAGTCTAGTAACTAACTAGGTAGATGGAAGAGAGACTGTACATAAAGAGACATTAACGAAAACACTGGGGTGAACACAACGCAAGAAATATTAACCAATTTATTAACTTGTCTAGTAATATAGGCGCAAAGGCTTGCCTTATAACTCTCATCATGCTTTGCCATTCCAGCTTCAATTACAGATCTAAAGATGCCACAAATTCCACGGACAGACATTGCTTTGTAGTGTCAGAATGGAAAGCTCGTACAAACTCCATTTTCCTCTGCCACGGACTGTAGATGCCTTTGCCATTAAATCTGTAAAGACGTCAGCTTGGTAACACAAGGTTTAATCACAGACAGCTGCCGTGGGGGATTAAAAATTTAGTAATGTCTCAGAAGAAATAAGAGCTGTATATATAAAAAAATAAATATTAACAGTATAACCCCACGTTATAACTCGACTTGCCTCTGTAACAAACGTACAGCCCAATTTTATAAAGAGAAAGCCAACCCTGTAATCTCGTTATCACCCTGTCAAACGCGTTGACGGTCATTATCATGCACAGATTCCTCTGCTATCAAGGAAGTCAGGGACTCATTGGTACTTGTCAACGGATAATGAGGAGTCTTAACGCTGCAATTAAGTCAGTGTCAGTTCGCAGTTGTGCTTTAGATTTTAGCTGGAACTTCCCACCACAAAACACTAAATTAACATTTGACAAGGGAGATGGACTGCAGCATTTTGGTTCCAAGAAATAATAGAGCCTTATAATTTACTGGGGGGGAAGGGCAGTAGGAGGGGGACATATATTTATATACACACACAAAAATTCAAACAAAGCAACTCAACAATACAGGAAGCCATTCGCAAGTATACTTCCTGAAGACAGCAGTGTTGAAGAGCAGATGTTTTTCGTCAAACATGAAGTCATGTGGACAGGACAGGTCATGTATACAAAGCAATATACAATGTCACCTTTACGCACTGTGCTTGTTGTTAAGCAGCGTGAATAGCAGGCCTCAACGGCTTTAAAAAAGGTTAAAGAAAATCAAAAGTCCAGAAAGAGTAAAATTCAAATAAACGCAAATATAAACGGTCACAAAAAGTTCTGACAAGGGTTAAAGAAAAACCGGCTGCATATTTTTAACATTTAAATGGCTTAACATTGTATACTTAATTTGTTTCCTGTTTTAACGAAGTGTAACTAATTCACTAGTCTCCTTAAAAAAAAAAAAAAAAAAAGTGAAAGAATTGAAATTTTGTGAAACGAAGTTTATATTATGCAAGCCTTTTCTTGTCAGGAAAACAAATTATAGAGAATCAGTCTGGAATTCAAATGGAATAGAATATATACTATTTTATCATATGTTCTGCCGTATGATATCTACATATCCAAAGGCAAATAAATGAAATGCCTCGCTCAGATACAGATGACCGAAAAAAAATATCTTCACAAACATCCCAAAATGGCCAGTAAGATATACAAATAATATACAAATAAACAGATATATATATATATATATATATATATATATATATATATATATATATATATTTTTTTTTAAATTTATTTTAGAGTTCCAGTCCCGCAACTGTGAAGACTCCTATTGTAACGACAAGCTGCTTAATTACATAGTGGTATATAAATATAGAACATACTTCAATTAGCTGGGAGTTTCTGACATTTTATATGGATTACACACAGCTGCCCAGGAAAAACTTTGGGATCTATTTCATAAGCTGTGAATTTGCTTTTAGTAAATTGTACCACTTACACTCATTCAATACAGTGAACCGTCAATAGAATTCTGTCAGCATAACTGAAATTAATTATCTACTAAAATCATTGAAGCTGCATTGAGATGTATGGGTCCATACTATGTTCAAATTATTCTTATTATTTGTGTACAAAACGCCAACAAAGTCCGCAGCGCTGTGCAATAGCTGGGCTAACAAAGAAGTAATTGCAACAAGACAAGTCGAGCGTACAGGACAGAAGGTGCTGAGCAAATAGAGCTTAAAGGACCACTCTAGGAACCCAGACCACTTCAGCTTAATGAAGTGGTCTGGGTGCCTGGTCCAGCTAGGGTTAACCCATTTTTTTAATAAACATAATGGTTTCAGAGAAACTGCTATGTTTGTAAATGGGTTAATCCAGCCTCCAAATCCTCTAGTGGCTGTCTCATTGACAGCCGCTAGAGGCGTTTGCGTGATTCTCACTGTGAAAATCACAGTGAGAAGACGCCAGCGTCCATAGGAAAGCATTGCAAATGCTTTCCTATGAGACCGGCTGAATGCGCACGCAGCTCTTGCCGCGCGTGCGCATTCAGCCAAATGGGAGGAGAAGAGGAGGATCGGAGGAGAAGAGCTCCCCGCCCGGCACTGGAAAAAGGTAAGTTTTAACCCCTTTCCTCTCCCCAGAGCCGGGCAGGAGGGGGACCCTGAGGGTGGGGGCACCCTCAGGGCACTATAAAACGAGTATGTTTTCCTGGCACTATAGTGGTCCTTTAATGAGACAGTGAAATTAGTTTAAAAAGCACTCCAGCTGAACAGCAGTAAAACTGCAAATTTTAAAACGACAACCAAATTTTCTATGTACATAAAAATTGCTGCGGCAGTAAAATTAGTTGTCGGGTTTAGGTTTGGGCTATCATTATAGGGTAAGTGGGAATCGGGGCAATTTATGGCTACAATTCTCCTGGTCTGTATGAATGAACTCATTTTCCATTCAATAATAATTCACTGTTTGTGACAAACTGAAAGATGTATAGAGATTTAACATCTAGCGAAACTGCAGCACCAATATTGCTAAAAAATTTCACAGAGCAAATACTATTGATACAACGTCATCCTAATAATCCAAGGTATCAGCAGGATTACGGTCAGGGTTTCAGTACAAGGAACTCGGAATGCAGTAATTGACAATGGCAATTTCAGTCAAAGCAAAGTACAGACAAGGATAGATGTGGTCAGGTTCAACAGAATCCGTCCGTCCAGGCAGCAAAGGTTTTTGAGTGAAAGGCAGGATAAAGGGTCAAATACCAGATAGACAAAGTAGCAAGAACAGGCACTAGCACATGACATCTCAGCAATGCGGGAGGAGTGAAAGGGCTTTAAATAGAGGAAATAGACACCCCTCACCACAATACCACTTGACTGCTTAAAAAGGACACGGTTTCGCCAACTGTGTTCAACCGCAGGGAATGGATGCCACCCGGAACAGTTTCTTGGCACTGGCAGATATAGTGTAGACACTGCTTGCCACTCATGGAACTCAGGTGATCCTGATTGCAGCAGGACCTTGGAGACCAACCTGGTCAAATGGCACGAAAGGCCTTTATTAATACCAGAATGGCGGCCCAGGTGGGAGAGATAAGAAGTTCAGGAGAGCTGGACAAGCGGGAGCCCCCCAGGGGACAGCAAGACCCTCATATTTTACACCCATTTCACAAACATCATGTAGATCATCCAATCTTTATCTACAATATTTTAGCTAAAGAAAACAGGGGCTTTGTTTAAACTTTGCACCCAAAGGAAGGAAAATGGAAAGTTGATGCTAAAAGTGTCCCGGCAGTTTATCTGTAGTAATTTCACCAAGAATGTTTACAAATTAGATGTTTGGATTCTCCATCTTCAGCTAAAATTAGTTTAATTCGTTCATAAAACTCTATTTTTAAAGTTGGCATCTGTTGCTCCAGAAAAAAAGAATTTGATAGAAATCCAAAAAAATGTCAAACTAAGTTATTAGGAGCTACACACATAACGTGCATTTGGACCAATTTGAACATTTAGCACATGTGCATGAATCCTTTAGGAATGTCAGTAGTTGATCTCAGTCATATTTCTATGCCTATCAGAAGAACGTTACCCTTTAACTGTTCTTTCAATTATTGTATTTCAATCACAAGTAAACCAGACAAAACCTCATTCAGCCAACCGTTTTAGTCATCTATTATCAGCCCTTACTAGGTCGTCAGCGTTTCAAGACCTCTTCCTCCAACCCTGAGGGACGGACACAATTGATACACGGCACGTCTGTTGTGTCCAACAGCGAAAGCCTCATTGACACTTTGATGGAGACACAAAACGTACATAATGTATAAAATGTCTGGACACCCAATCTCCAATTAAGCACTTTCTAGAATTGGTGCTTTGGTTTGCTTGGAAATGATCAAAGGCAGCTTTCAAAGACAACAATGTAAATTAATATGCACATTTCCACACATACTAGCTATTCATGTTTTTTATATACTAACACATGAACAGAAGGACCCCATGAGAGAAAAGATGAGCATGAGCAACATATGTGGGCTTCTAAAGAAGTTATGATGTCTAAGGTTGGAGAGGGGTGGACTATGCTGGTGACACATTGAAGTCCACACACACACACACAAAGTCAGCTTTCAAGAGAACAGTGCGTCAATGGGTAGAAATACATGCATTGGCTTTGGACAATGTGTTAATGACACACAGTGCATTTCTGTGGACTTGCGTCTTGTGTCCTTGGACTCCAGCTTTAGAGAACCAACAAAGTGTAGCTGGACGGGGGCCACAATTTAAGACAGTTTGAATGTATGCAACAACTGGTAACTAAAAGGATGATACTATTATAGAATACATTCATAAAAGCAAATGTTGTATCTTCATTTTAGGCTTCTTCAACAGATTATTATATATATTTATATATTTTTTTCAAATGCTATATAGAGACTATATAAATTGAACACGAAAATGTTATTTTTTAATCTTATTAATTAGCTAAAAAGTTAATAGGTCCTTCTAAATGCTGCATAAATATAAAATAATAATGAAAAAATGTTGGCAGGTCAGGTTACATATCGAACGTCGTATTAAGCAGTCAGTATTGTTCTGTAATATTTAGACGGCATAGACCGTAAAACTCTTGATTTGGATTCTTCATCACAAGACCACATGTGATTTGTTTTTATTTGATCATTTCCAGAACAGCAAGCGTATTAAGCAAAATGAAACATTTATGGTATTTTAATCATCTTCCTATTGGTTCAATTCCTGATCGCATAATTAGATAGGATTATAGTGTATCACTAGAACGGGTTTTAATGATGGAGAATAAGTAGAATCCTTTATGGAACTCAGTGATTCCCAGCTCTCCTTTTATTCCACACTGTGACCCAGCTATAAAATTTCACATTTAGAATATAAAACTCAACATGCCCATCACAGTAAATTGTATGAGATGTTTGTTTGTCTCTCTTAATACAAATTAGAACTATTTTTCATTACTCTTTTATATTATTTTTTATGTTTAGCTATTGTCCAACACACACCAATTCACACCAACAACATCAAGAAACATGTTGAATGTGTCTGGGGAGAGCTTGTGGATTGTGGCAACACTGGACATAATGTGGGTTTACCTCATACGGAATCAGAGTTTCTGTTTTGGTAACACGCTACGAACTAAACACCATCCGATCAAAAACTGCAAAACTAACACACCATCGTAGCGGGAACCTCACAAGGTCACACATCAGTGCACTAGCAGTGAACGGGTATTTTCTCTGCCAAGTATAATGTATAAAAATAATTGCAGGTAAAAAACCACACGCAAGGCGAATCATGCCTTAAAAGCCAAGTTAACAGAGATTGATCTTAATCTGATTTGCATGTTTTTATAGTAAATTTGCATAATTGATGTAAATCCAAAAGGTTATTGTAGAAACTATAAATGTCAGGTGTATTGAGGGTATAGTTTTGTCTGTGCCAGGTTTCCTTTCGTCTGCTAAATAGAAGACAAGATTATACCGGCCTACAAACCCTATGACTCTCATCCTGAATAAGGAGGCTGAGAGTTATTTTCCATCACAGGACGCAGCTTTAAAATCATCACACATGGAAAATAGTGGACTACACTGAAGTTTATAGGATGTAGAAAATGACGGCTTCCTAGCACCAATGGTATGTCGTATAAAATCGCTGCTATACCAATAGAACTCCGGACATTGTAGAGGCTGCTTCTTCGCGGAGCATTAGACTGCACTCTCCGCCCATGAAAACATTATACAACATGTTCCATATTAATAAAATAAATATATTCAAAAAAAGGCATGTAGGTCAAAGAACTGCACACATAAATGCGTAATCACACACATTGCCTTACCTGTGATTAGCGAGAAAATCCTCACTGTTCGCAAAGCTTTACAAAGGTACCCACAAATCTAAAAAGAAAAAAAGCAAAACAAATAAATATAATAAACCATAAACAAAGTTTTCAACACAAACATTTAAAGAAGTAATTTCAACTTCCCAGAGAGAGACAAAAGTAAAAAATAAAAATAAAAAAAGAGTGGTTGGAAATGGTTAAGAAAAGAAGACTATATTTAAAAGAAGAAAAACTACCACAACAAGAGGACAAAGTCTTAAATTAGAGGGACAAAGGTTTAAAAATAATATCAGGAAGTATTACTTTACTGAGAGGGCAGTGGATGCATGGAATAGCCATCCAGCTGAAGTGGTAGAGGTTAACACAGTGAAGGAGTTTAAGCATGCTATCCTAACTATAAGATAAGGCCAGGGACTAATGAAAGTATTTAGAAAATTGGGAAGACTAGATGGGCCAAATGATTCTTATCTGCCGTCACATTCTATGTTTCTATGTTAATGGTGTAACAAGGCACATGACCATTAACTTACAGCTTGCACGGAAAAAGAGTGTTACAGGGACAGAGATAAATTTAAAGCTAATTCAGTTCATGCCATCATAAACTGATCGAGCTTCCCAGGATTTTAATCTATATTTAACAAATATGTAAATTAAATGCAGAAATTCACACTTCTTCAACCTGCGAATGAGCACCTCGTTCTTAGCTCCATGTCAATCATTGTTATAAAAGCTCTGTCCTTCGCACCTGTCAGTCAGCATAGAGAGAGCAAGAGGCGAGGGGAGAAATTAAAACAGGTCTATTTCTCCTCCTCTTTTGCAATGTTTGCCCTGTTTTTTTTGCCTTGTCTGATCTGGATTACTATGGTATTTGCTAAATGTTTAATATGACTTAAAACACCCAGAGCAGCTCATAAAAATACCCCCAAAAAAAACAAACAAACAAAAAAGTTGGCAAAAATTATAAGTGCATTTCAATATTTTATATAATGATGTAAATTACAAAGAAGCCAGAGTTCCCCTTTAATATCTCTTCATTAACCATTTCAAGAACACCAGTGAAACTACCCTGTTATGTATTTGCAGTGTCTTTTTACAAAGGCTGTACAATAACATTTCAACTGTGTTACAGTAACTGAAGTGATACGTCCTTGCTTGCTGCTGATCAAATAATGCAGTTATATCAACAGAGCTTAGCTGCAGCCTGTAGTGACCCTTTATTATAGGAACACCAAAGGCACCCAGACCACGTAATCTCAATGAAGTGGTGTGAGTGCAGTGTCCCTTTAATTAAGAGAACTACTGTAAACGATGTACCAACATGTTGTCTACCTGTTTGTAACAATATCTATGCACTACCGAAAATAAAGAATTTATAAAAAAAAAACACACTTCTAGTGGCTGTCTAACTGATAGCCACTAGAAGTGCTTCCCTGTGAGAACCTAGTCAAAACGGTTTGTCAATCAATGGCGTCTCCTAGAGCAGCATTTGATTGGCACAATAGAGTGATGTCCACTGCATGCGCACTAGCCTTGCAATGCTTGACGATCTCAGCCATAGAGGCAGGGTAGCCGGAAAGAGAACACTGCGGCAGTGTAGATAAAATAAGTAAAAGTACCTATTCACTTAACATGGGGGCTGGGGGTTGTAACTAAACTGCTAGGAGGTCACAACAGCTTCAGAAATATATGTTTGTATTCCTAATGCTATAGTGTTCACTCTGTTACTATATTCTCTAGCCAGCACTAGCAGCTCCTGATAGGGAGCTACCCTAACAACCACAGTGCACGCGCTGTGGTTGCTAGGGGTGGCGAGCCGAAGGATGTACCGCCTTTGGGTGGTCTCTTCTGCTTTTATTTAGCAATGAATTCATCAGAATAAAATCTATGCTGAAGAATTAAAAGACAGGTGGGAGAAAGACCCGTTTTTTTTGAATTGATTTTTCTCCCAATCTCCACATTCTGCAGCAAAACTGCTAACACTATGTATAGGTAGAATGTTATGCATTTTAAATTTAAAAAAAAGAGTAAAAGTAGTTTTGGGCAGTACAGTTGCCCTTATAACAACCAATGCATCTCCATCATTAACAAAGAAATTACAAAAAAATAAAATGAGAGCTACCATGTAAAAAATACACCGTTATACTAAATCGAGAACGAACTCACATCACACAAATATGCCCAGATGGCATTAAAATGCGGCTAATGTCCCATGATTGGCACCTCTGGCTATCACTGGACCAGAGAGTAGAATTATGAATCCATTATTTACGTGCCATGAAACACACTTGACAGATAGACACTTTGACAAACTAAATTACAAAATCCATTTTCTTTCCTTTATCTCTGCAATTCTAATTTAATAACAGGTACAGACAGTGTGAATGGCGTCCAATTTCGGCTGGGCAAGGAGGGATGTACGCTTTGTCATAAGCAAGATTTTAAATCCTATATTCACAGTTGTCAGGAGCACAATTGGCTTACGTAATTCATTCCCAGCCAACTGTGCTGTCCAGATCCCCAGCAGCCTTCCACCGACAGGAAGGAGAACGAAGACTATCTGCAATCATGTTAGCAAGCTTATAGTAATAAGAAACTGAAGGGGTTGCATAAAACTCATGGAAAACATTAACAACAACAAAAAATAAAAATGCAACATACTATTTTTTTGGCGCACGTATAGCTCTTTAGGGTTTATTCACTGAATGTTAAACTGTGGAGAATGGACAAAGAAATTGGAACATTTTAGACAAAAACTCCTGAATTACAAACATTCCCCCAATTTGGGAAATTTTTCCAGGTGGAATAGTTTGGGCTGCAATTTCGCAATTTGCTTAATAATTTTCTTGTTTAGCAAACCTCCCAACATATCAAATGTACACTTTCATTTTTAGGGTGTAAGTAGAGAGGGGGCAAGGGAAATTTTAGGTGACCCGGTAACAATGTATGCAACTAAAATGGAATTTAGAATAACAATGTATCTTATTTACACAGACTGATTTCTAAACACATTTATTGTAGTGTAAAGACACATTACTGGGAGAAGCATGGCTGTGGAGCTCTGTTATACACTCAGACACAACAACAATATCAAACTCCTAGAAATGAGGGATATTAGGATAGAAAATAGGGACAGAGGGATTTGGGCTCCAATATAGACATTTGGTTGGTGAGCAAATCTCTTCATTTACAACCACACATTGAAACAGACACACAGACACAAACTAACATACAGACATACATACAGATACATACATACTGACAAATACACAGAGACAGACATACACACAGACATAGTGAAATATATACACATACATACAAACATACAGACATACTGACACATACAGGTATACATACATACATACTCACATACACACAGCTAATTTTTCTTACTTTTTTTGCAGGAGGGTGGCTGGGGCTGATGGGAGTCGGCGTGGCTCTTCCGTCCTCGCGGCCTGTCTCTCTCCCCTCCCGCACGGAGGGTGCTGGAAGGAAGTGACTGGCCCATCACTTCCTCCAAGCACTACTTTGCGGCTCTAAAATACTACTACTACTATTGCACGGCCGCAGCGCTGACCGGGCCCCTGAAGATATAGGGCCCATCAGGTTGCCCTAAAAGCTTAGGGCCCCCGGTGGGCCCTATTAGCGTGCGGGCCCCGGGGGAACCGCACCGGCATAAGTTCCGCTGCTACACGTGGGGCCCAGCAGGCACCTCCTGTCTGTGATAAAAGTTCAAATTACAGAGTAGGGGATTCAAACTGTGAAAGTAAGTAACATCTGATTGAAATAAAACCATTTTGTTTTCATGCCGGCTGTGTGGGTCACAGCAAGGGGATGTGGGGCTAGGGCTGCATAAAGAGAAACAAAAGTGATTTAACTCCTGAATGGCAAATAATTGAGAAGTGAGACTGCAGGGGCATGATCTATACACTGCTCCATTTAGCTAAAGTTGTCTAAGGTTTCTCGTGTATACATTTAAGAACATTTCATAGGAAATATAATTCAACTGACCATCAAGGAAATGCAGTTTAACCTCTGCCTCACATCCAAAGCTGTGCTAGCTTTCTTATTGCTGGTTCTAGATCCATACATAGGTCCCACATTAGAAATTCACAGAACGTGTCCTGCTACAAGCTGAAAATGACTGAGAAGTGAGAAATATAGGACAATCTCACTTTCTGTTATGGGAGAAAGTAGGGATCCAAAACATGCCATCACTGCCGCAGTGTGTGCTTGTTAACGCCACCTTCACGGTGAAATTGGTAAATCATTCATTAGTTTCCCTCTCACAGCACAAATAAATGGAATCTTACAAGATCCGCGCAGTTAAAGAATCAGATTAAAAATGAGAAAATAAGGGACATTTCCACTGAAACAGTTTCCATTTTGAAATGTCATATTTTACATGTTTTTTTGGAGTTATTGAGACCCTGAGTGTTAATTAAGTTGAACGCTGCCCAGAGTTAGTTACGGTGGTGGGAAGATATGAAATATACGAGTCTGTGGTCTATGAATGTAACAGTAACTCATGGGTAGACTCCGTAATCCATCAGACATTGAACGCGTGATTCTGCCCCCACCCCAACAGGTCACTAAAATGGGCAGCAAGTTGGCACGAGTATTAAATCTCCTTCCTTTCACATTATTTAAGATGCGTATCTGTTTATACATGAAATCAGACAAACATTATTTATAATTCAGAGACAGCACGTAAAATCCTCATTGTGGGGAATCAAGCTGGAATAAAATTCTGGTTTGTGTTTTTGGGACAGAAAGCTAGCAATATTTTTGATACTTTTTTTTGTTGCTGAAATATTAATCTGGGCCCTGAACATGGCCAGCTATAACGAAGAAAAAAACCCAAACACAAAACAAACCATAAATAAGTAATTAGGAGCTGTAATTATGCCAGACAGGACATGGCTGCTTACGTAAAAAACAAACACACGCCACAGCCAAAAATCCCTCACTGACATCCCTGGGGCCAAATGTCAGCCATTCAGCCAGTGTCAACATATGTGACTGCTTAGGAATGTCCCCAGTCTAGTTACTGCATCAGGAATGGGAGCCGTCTCACAAAGAATGTCCCTCGAACATTGAAGTCATGAAAAATAAAATGAGAAACAACAAACAAAAAAAACAAGTGAGAAAGGGAAGGGAATACAAGGAGGCTATTTCATCATGCAACATAGTTTTTATAGTTTGCTGCTTGTCTTTATACGGACAGTCGTGGCACCATAACCACTACAGCATGCTGCAGAGATTATGGTGCCGGGCGTCCACTGGTGCCAAACCACAAAAAACTGTCAAACCATTTTCAAACAAACAATCTTACACACCTGGGATCCCCAGTCCAGCATCTGAGATATCTAGAGTAGAGGCTCCCGTTTCGCATTAGATATATCAGCTTTATAAATACATAAATATAAAATCCATAGACTGAGAGAATCTTCGGCCAATGAATTAATTCCAAACATGGATGGAACAGACATCCCTAAAGTGGAAGTAAGAACGTCCGCCATAATGATCCCAGAAATGGAGGCTGTACTGAAGGCCCTATTAATGGTCTGAATAGTGTTTGAAATGGTTTCGTATTTTAATATGAATGAATCAATAAGAATATTTACCATAGTGTCCTTATGTATTAGTTATACTGCACACTCATGCATGCAAACATTCTAAGTTACAAACAAGGCAGTGGAATTTCAGGCCCAAACAGAAAAACTGGAATTTTTTTTCTATTTTGCATTTTGTTCATACCTTCACAAATTTGTAAACTATTCACTTTAAGGATTCTGATGGCAATATGCCATCTAATAGGAGTGTGGAACAGAAAACCTCTACTCTAATTTCACTGACCATTTTGGGCCATAACACAAAGTTTAAAAGATCACTATAGGGTCAGGAACACAAACATGTATTCCTGACCCTATAGTGCTAAACCCACCATTTATGTGGCGTGCTCCCACATAGCCCCCCTATAAAAGTTTAAAACTCACCTTCTATCCAGCGCCGCGCGGGTCAGCCAGTGCCGGCTCCGCCCCCATTGTGACATAATCGAATTGGACGATTTTTAGTTTCACAACAACAATCTGATAAGACCAAAACCAAAACAACAATCCAGAAAAGCACAGTGATCCCGTTAGTTAAAGGACCACTATAGGCACGCAGACCACTTCAGCTCAATGAAGTGGTCTGGGTGCCAGGTCCCTCTAGTTTTAACTGTGCAGCTGAAAACATAGCAGTTTCATAGAGAAACTGCTATGTTTCACTTAGGGTTAATCCAGCACTGAAAACACTGAAAAGGCAGTGTTTACATGAAAATGCCTGAAGGGAGCTGTAGTTGTTCTGGTGACTATAGTGTCCCTTTAAATAAATAAACAAATGGATACATGTAAGTCACAGTTGCACTAAGCACTTTGTTACTTTAGAATATCACGAAAAAAATAAATAGATGCTAAAAGGGAACTTCCAAAGCAACGGATTCTGAATATATATATATAAAAAAACCTTAAAACCTTGATATTCTGAACCGAACATAATGACCGAATATCATCCAAACACGAATGTACAAACTGTTGACATTCTGTTTGGACGAAATTTGGTAATTTCGCTGGTGCCCTAGTCTAAATCACAGAACGTTCGGAAAGGTAGCGTGAGAAAACAGAGTAAGGGGAGGATTATGGGAAAACTTTGGTTTGACACAGGAAACTGAGCTGACTTAAGCTTCTCCTTTGGTCAAAGAAAGCGTATGAAAAATACAGAAGCCAAAATAGTCCTTACTTTGTCTTACGTTTTAAAGAAATGAAGAACAGATTCTAAGAGAGGAAAAGAAAAGGAAGCGATTTGGAAAAGGTAAGTTCATCGTGACAGTCCCGCTTTAAGTTCTCAGCAGCATCTCATTCTATTTATTTATCCTTCTTACACACAACTGAAACATTTTAAATCACTTTAATCAGTGGAGTACTTTAAACTTATCAGATTCATATACATATAGAAAATATGTAGGGAGTTAAAAACACTGTAATTTGTAATACTTTTATATATGAATAGTATAGGTGATTAAAGTGATTTTGCACTGTTACTTATTAAAAAAAATGAAAAAAAAAATCGTATAAAACACACAACTATTACAATTATTTAAAATGATGCTTCTCTCCAAATCCTCGTATCTAAGATTTACTAAGATTTACTAAGATTAAGACTATATAGTTCACAGGGCTATTCTCAGGGAGAGAGAATACTTTGTCTGGAGCACTCACTCGCTCAATGTTCGGTTACCCACCCTTCCAATGAATGTGACAAGACATAGATAATTTGTGTATTCAGACATTAGGGGAAATCTGGCACACAGAAAACTGCTGAAAAATGGAAAATGGAAAGACATAGGCAAACATAATGTTCTCTTGGCTCTACATTGTGTTCACTAGCTCAGAACATCATTATCAGGCACTCATTAGGAAACTCGGAAAAAAAAGTTAAAAGCACATTAATTGAGTTAGGCAGGCTGGAGACATTACAGTCAGCTGATAGGAGAATTTATGTCCTACTTTTTGCTAAACACACAAAAAAAAATAAACACCTTTGGGCTATTGAAAAGACGGACACAGAAAATGTATCAAAGACGTAACGCGTGGTTTTAGCTGTGGACTAACATTTCCAAAGGTTGCTTAGACTCCAATCTCCAACTATCAAACAAGAAAAGTCCACAGTGAAAACTCACTAAAGCTTCAGCTTGTTTGGAGATACTGCTAGGTCAAGGACCCATTTCTACAGTGCAAGAACCTGAGCTATCCTAAAATATGAAATGGGAATAAAAGGCAGTAAAGGAGGCAGCCCAAATCAAGATGTGAAGAGAATTGCCACACGAGATGGTTAAAGCAAAATAGCACTCTCCCAAATAGAGGACTGCCCACATTTAGGCAATGAGTGGGAGAGTCCAGAGTCTTTGGGGGTGGGGAGGGGGGGGGAGGAGGTGGGAATTGCAAAGAGCAAGAAGATATTCCTGGATCATTTTGATTGGCTCCATCAAGTAAGCTGCCACCTTATGGTGATGTTACCCTTCCCACGTGTTTTCCCCTATTTCTGCAGGGATGCTGGAAGTCCAGTGTATGGTCACAGGTGAGAAAACTGTGACAATAGTAGATACCCTCCTATTATTTTTTACAGCAAAGATGTAGGAAGCCCAAGTTTCACAACAACAATCTGATAAGACCAAAATCAAAACAACAATCCTAAAAGCACAGTGATCCCGTTAGTTAACATCTTCCAGGGGTTGGCAACCTTTGACATTCCAGATGTTGAGGATTACAACTGCTATAATGCTTCAAAGCATCAAGGGAAATGTTGTCTAAAACATTTGGAGTACTGAAGGTTGCCTACACCTGCTGCTAGACAATCTGGGATCAGCCGTTTTAAGATTCTGGTGATTTAGCAGGAGTAGCAAATCCATACCCTCGTATACACAGATATACTACCTACATCTTCTCACATACTCCAATACAGACCAGACACACATGGGTGGAGTGTGTCTCAGTCCATACAAGATGGCCCAAAGAGATCTCAACCCTGGTGTTGTCTCCTCTTGAAATTCCCAGGTCCTGATGTGGGGTTAAAGCATCTGAACGGTCTATCCCTCCCTCCTGCAATTAGACACAGTCACATCTCCTGCAATACAAATTCAAAGGCCACATCAATATATTCAAAAGGTTGAGTGCAGCACTAACCTTCTTGGGCATAATATCTTATTGACCATGTCAAATTCTATACAACAAGTATAGATTCACAGGATTGTGTCTGAATACAACTTTGATATAACTTTTTGCATAAAGTCCCCAGGATCAGCAAATTATATTCCTTCAATTTTATTTTTAGAGATTGAAAGGGCTTAACATTAGAAATTCTATGTGAATATTTTTCAGTTTGGATCAAACCAAGGATTACTGGGATACAAATGTCACAATTTGTGGCGCTCTCGTTTCAGAACTACATTGATCTCAAATATTGTGTTAATTAAAAATCACCTGTCCAATCGATGGAAAGAAAATGAAACCGAGAAATAACAAATTTTTACGGCCGGGAAAGTCATTTGTGTAATGAAAAATAAAAATCAAGAAATAGCTGCCTTTTTTGTGCACAACTTAAGATCAGCGTTTAAGCGAAGCGTCCGTTCTGGCATCACACAGAGCTTGGCTCAGCTTTGAAGTGCAAGGTTCGAGTGAATTCATGCAAGAATAATGATATTCCTTTGACGACCCTTCCAATTTTCACAGCGCTGCTATCAGCATGCAGAAACTTATAACAGAATACACTTTATCAGTCAAACAGTTAAGCGTGAGTTTGTAATGGTAACTCACTGTATGGAGAATGTGGAACAATGTGTTCTATCACCCTCATCCAGGCTCTGGCTCAAAATAATGGAAGTTTTAGTTCACTGGCTAAAGAGAAAACACTTTATTAACTCTGCAATGTGCAACATATAATGACAGCTTGCATCATCTCCCATTTACCTACATAGGCGACATTCACAGAATTACTGAGATACTTTGTTATTTTAATTTATTCTACATCTATACAGATACAAAGGGTATGGACACTGGGCATAAAAATTCTTAAAGGACCACTATAGTGCCAGGAAAACATACTCGTTTTCCTGGCACTATAGTGCCCTGAGGGTGCCCCCACCCTCAGGGACCCCCTCCCGCCGGGCTCTGGAGAGAGGATAACACTTACCTTTCTCCAGCGCCGGGCGGGGAGCTGTACTCCTCCTCTCCTCCTTGCTCGCGACGTCATCGGCTGAATGCGCATGCGCGGCAGGAGCCGCGCGCGCATTCAGCCGGTCGCATAGGAAAGCATTTACAATGCTTTCCTATGGACGCTGGCGTCTTCTCACTGTGATTTTCACAGTGAGAAGCACGCAAGCGCCTCTAGCGACTGTCAATGAGACAGCCACTAGAGGCTCTGGAGGCTGGATTAACCCTCAGTATAAACATAGCAGTTTCTCTGAAACTGCTATGTTTATAAAAAAAAAGGGTTAATCCTAGAGGGACCTGGCACCCAGACCACTTCATAAAGCTGAAGTGGTCTGGGTGCCTAGAGTGGTCCTTTAAATGATTCAATGCGATTTATATGTAAATAAACATTGTATAACTCATTTGTGGTACAGGTAATTTCTGTGAGTTTAGATAAACCAAAATTGAAATAAAAGTCCCATTATTTCCCAAAAGTGATTTAGGTATGCACTGAGTGATTAGGGGGATCACCACAAGCAACGACATATGTTGCACTTAAAACGTCACCTTAAACTCAATGTATACCACCTGTGACAATGACCGTCGCATAACAGACACCTACAAATAGAGGAAATATTATGGTAGCAAATGGCATGAACATTAATAGTAGGTGATAAGAACACTATTCAAAATAGCTTCCAGTCTTTTATAACCAAGTATAAATCACATAAATGGTAACAGTGCAACTTATCTGTAAACCTTGTAATTCAAAAATGAAAAAAAAAGAGAAAACACTTTATTAACTCTGCAATGTGCAACATATAATGACGATATAGAAGATTCAGAAGCCACTAAACATGAGATTGTAGCTACCAGATTAAGCGAGATATATGAAGTCCCAATACTTGACCAAAAAAATACTAATTTAGAGGATTCCCAAATAGAAAGAAATTATATTGATAATCCAGGAAGGAAACATACTATATCATTATGTTATTCCTATATTAATGCTAGGCCCCAAACCAAATTGGATTACATATTCGCATGGGAAAGGGATCTCCAGAGAGAAATGTCTCTGGATAACTGGTTGGCAGTTTCTATAAATTTGAAATGTATCACCCAGTGTTTGGCTCATTTGGAGAACCACTATAGAGTTTTATATCGGTGTGTACGGGCTAACTGTGACTTGTGGTAGAAGGCTAGCGCGGTCTAACAGAGAACACCTGACACTTTTGTTAACTCAGGAAGATAAGCGCTATGGCTTTCTGACTAACAGCCAGGGAGGTGTTTCTGCAATTCTTCATAAAAATTGCCAATTTTAAATAATAATCTGGGGTTTTATAAACTGCCGTTAGGATGAGATGCTCCTGACACATAAAATATTTTAGAAAACGGAAGTGCTTTGTCCCTTGAAGTTTGTGTTTTAAAGAAAGAGGTTTAAAAAGAACGGAGGTAGCTTTTTTGCATACATTTTGAAGCTTTTACAACGGTTCTAGGGTTTTCAGATCCACCATGTTTCCATGCTCTTCTGGCTGATAAGCAGCACCTGAAAAGGGATGAATTAATTTGCCACATATTGGAAAGCAATCGAGGAGAAATCCCAAAGAAATTCCTTTATGATTTAACCGATTTAGCTCCTACAGCTCGTGAATTCTACTGACTGCTGGGTTTTTCTTTTACACATGAAGAAGTGATATGTGTAAAAAAAAAACAAAAAACAACAATATGGATCTGGCCATCCAGATAAGCAAGCTTGTTCTTGCTGTGCTAATAAATTATGACAGGAGCACCCTGGTCTTGACAGTTTATAAGGCATTGGAAATAATTAGGCTAAAGGGACACTGTAGTCACCTATATAACTTTAGCTTAATGAAGCAGTTTTATAGTGTATAGATCATTCTCCTGCAATTTCACTGCTCAATTCACTGTCATTTAGGAGTTAAATCACTTTGTTTCTGTTTATGCAGCCCTAGCCACACCTCCCCTGGCTATGATTGACAGCCTGCATGAAAAAAAAAAACTGATTTCACTTTCAAACAGATGTAATCTACGTTAAACATTTTTATCTCTTGCTCTGTAAATGTAACTTTAAAAATCACATACAAGAGGCTCTTGCAGGGTCTAGCAAGCTATTAACATAGCAGGTGATAAGAAAATCTAAATTAAACAGAACTTGCAATAAAGAAAGGATAAACATTAGATGACTCTTTACAGGAAGTGTTTATGAAGGCTGTGCAAGTCACATGCAGGGAGGTGTGACTAGGGTTGATAAACAAAGTGATTTAACTCCTAAATGGCAAAGAATTGAGCAGTGAGACTGCAGGGGAATGATCTATACACCAAAACTGTCTCATTAAGCTAAAGTTGTTTTGGTGACTACAGTGTCTCTTTAAACTTATTCCCATTTATGCAAATTTCTTTGAAAATCAGATATTTGCCACTTTAACAAGTAATGGAGTCCTGATAGCGATTTTATTTTTAACCGCTAGCCTGAGTGTTCTGTTAAAGAGAGCTCCTTAATCGAAAAAAAAAAAAAAAAAACACTTCTAGGTTTTAAAATAAGTAAAAAATGACTTATTCAATTAAAACAGGAGTTCAGGTTGATGTGGAATAATTCAGTTAGTCTCCCTTTTTAATGGGGGTTATAATCCATTAGGGACAGTGATTTCTATCTGGAACCCTGGGTAGATCCAATGTTTTCTAAAAACAGCATCTTTTAGTAGATGAGGAAAAAAAAAAAGTCAATCCATGGATCTGTTCTTCACAGCATTCTCATTTGATTAGGGAAGACTAATTAATATGGCATAATTTCATTTACATCGCAAAAGAAATCAGTTAAGACATTTAAGCAACCTTGTATCGCTTGAAACGAACACACAATGCAAAACTAATTAGGGAGCTTATGCATTCAGCGTGAGGACATTTTTACACCAGGGCGCAGACATCATTGGTATTAAAAGAGGAACGATATCAAAAGGAATAAATTTGCCTCTTCATAGAATGCGTACAAATGACACATCAAATAAAAACAGATCACTCAGCAGCACTTCAAACACATCCATTCTGGGCGACTGGTTTATAGATCTGGATACATTGCTATTCAACGCTGCAGTTACTGTACCAAGCAGACACAATGAGAATCAATTTTACAAAGTGGGGGCAATTTAGAGCATTGCCTTTTTTTTCTGCAGATCAACAAAACGGCGGAAAATTGTCACAATGGCTCCCTACAATCTAGCCTGAAAAGTCAGAGTGATTTCCAGTGGGGATTTATTTAGAAATCACTAGTAGCCATTATAAATGTTTCATTAGACATTCCTTTGCTTTCCGGAGAAATCCAGAGACATAAAATAGGCTGGAAAATGACAGAGAGGAATGGCTGGCGCTCCGGTGACAAAGTGCTTTATATTTCAGCTGTACTTAAAATCAATAAATTAAACGAAATCTTTGTTTTTGACAGAAGCAGAACAGCTATGGCCAAAATAAAAAAAAATCAAGCAGACACAATCATACTCTCAACGTCGTCTGTCTAAACAGAATATTCTAGCAAAAACAGAACACTGTAGGATGACAAGCGCACGTTTTAACAGGAATAGAAAATAGAATACATTTGACATCTCCACAGGCAACCCGAGGTCTGAGCTTCTTAAAAAAATCTAATATTTGCAGGCAAATGCCCTCCATATAAATTACATCGTTTATATGGTTTAACGGTCATTAATGTTTCAATTTAATCTCAGTGTATATAAAAGAAAAAGCAGGAAATAGGGAAGTCCAAATATTTATGTGAAAGTTATAGAACAGACTCATTTTGCACTCTTGTTGCTCCAGGAAGTCTGCATTTTATATCAGATTAGGGATGGGAGGGGGGCTGCCATTTACAGTCTCGGGTTTTCATTATTTTACATTTTTTTTTAATAATGGCTACAGTTTCAAGTTTTAGTTGTATTCTAATTGGCTGGAAAGGGTGAGACTGTTCCACAGTCAGCACATATATACGCAAACACACACACTATGACAAAGATCGACTACACTCGGGTTAATTCACAAAACTTTTGCAAAATAAATTTGAATGGCAAAATTGAATCAAAAATACCCATGTTCTAACTATAGCAAAGTTAGAGAATATTTTCATATCAGCTATTTTTACCTCCATTTTTCCATTCAGATATAATTTGAGAAAATTAGTTTAACAAAATAGCAGTGTCAATGTGTACAGCTCTAGGCAAGGACTCCAACTATTTGTATCAGGACAAGTAGATTGGGCTACCATTTTAGTCCCTTGGACAAGTTAATGTAATAATAATAATAAATATAATAAAAAAAAAAAAAAGAGAAAGCCGGCCCTTATTCTGTATTCCAGCTTTGCTCCGTAGGGGTGTGTATCTAGGAGCCAACTGCCAATCAAATGCTTCCTCGGAGTAAGGGGGAGGGGCATCAATCTTTGCTAATGAGCAAACACAGAAAGAAGATGTGCCTTAAACCCAGACACTAGGCAGTTACAGGTAGACGATGGCATTATGTTGTTTTAGGAACTTTTTTTCTTAAATTTAATATCAAGGCAATCATCACATTATCATGTACCGAGTTATTTCATGATAACATTCGTGCTCTATGTTACTTGATTACGAAATTCATATATAACAGCATGCCAATTACGTCTATGTAAACATGTTAAAAACCTTTACTGTTGCAAGAAGGTGTGGGTTTATGTAAATGTTGCACACGCCAAAAGCATTTAGGTACCTGACGTATCCTTGATCCATTTCAAAGAAGGTCAGCCCTGAAGTATATTCAGTAAGCCATTGCCAAGGTAGCGTGCGTATAAGTGATGGTAGAAATAAGGAGAAGGAAATGTGTGCCAACGGCAGAGAATTACACTGCTCTCTATGAGTGTGAGAGAAATATTTATGTCATGATCTGCTGGATGTGCAAATGATTAAATATTCCTAAAAAATAATACTGAAGAGGTCCTGAAAAAAAAATGAATTGTGATATCAGCGAAGATTCTAGGGATGCATTACTTGTAGTTGGTTTGATTTGTATAACCTGCTGGCAAACTTCAAATATAGAATGTATAATCTGTAGCTAAAAATGGCTACTAGCTTCAAATCAGATTTCTCAAGCCGTGGTAAACACAAGACTCAACACTATACCTACCACGGGTCCCTATTAATGAGGGACAGTCCTTATTTTGGGCACAAATCGCTATTTTCTAGGAGCTTGATATTGTCTGTATGTCGGAGTGTGTAACAGAGCTTCACAGCAATAATACTCCCAGTAATGTGTCTTTAAAGGAACACTATAGTCACCTAAATTACTTTAGCTAAATAAAGCAGTTTTAGTGTATAGCTCATTCCCCTGCAATTTCACTGCTCAATTCACTGTCATTTAGGAGTTAAATCACTTTGTTTCTGTTTATGCAGCCCTAGCCACACCTCCCCTGGCTATGATTGACAGAGCCTGCATGAAAATGAAAAACTGATATCACTTTCAAACAGATGTAATTTACCTTAAATAATTGTATCTCAATCTCTAAATTGAACTTTAATCACATATAGGAGACTCTTGCAGGGTTTAGCAAGCTATTAACATAGCAGGGGATAAGAAAATCTTAATTAAACAGAACTTGCAATAAAGAAAGCCTAAATAGGGCTCTCTTTACAGGAAGTGTTTATGGAAGGCTGTGCAAGTCACATGCAGGGAGGTGTGACTAGGGTTCATAAACAAAGGGATTTAACTCCTAAATGGCTAAAAGAGGATTGAGCAGTGAGGCTGCAGGGGCATGTTTTATACATCAAAACTGCTTCATTAAGCTAAAGTTGTTCAGGTGACTATAGTGTCCCTTTAACTACAATATATGTGTTTAAAAATCAGTCTGTGTAAAGAAGATACATTAGTCTTGTTCTAAATTACATGTTAGTTCCATAAATTATTAGAAAGTCACCTAAAATTTCTCAGAACAGCCCCGCCCCCTGCCACACGCCCACTCACACCCCTTTATCCATGTGTCCATCATATGCTGTATCCGGATTTATTGTCTGAGCGGATAGCACTAAAATCGGATCGAGAGCAGTTGGGAAACTGTGCTAAATTTTACATATATTTTCGAACGTCACCTAATGAGTTATTTTATATGAGTCACCGAAACAAGACATTACTAACACAAAATGTCTTTCTAATAGACCACATAAAATATATAGATGCCATTGCGACCCGTTTAATATGCCTTTCTAGCAGAGTAGTAGACATTTTAAAAGCTCTGCGCAATATTGCGGCCAAGTGGAGGAGGTCTTTATTCACTCTTTCGCAGACAGTTTCGATCACTTAGTACTACTATCACTTAAAATTAATAATCAGTGTTTCATTAGCTCATTGAAGACAAATCTAGTTGCTGTTGACCGACTTAAAGTCGATAACATAAATGACATTAAAAGTAGAGTGGGGAGTGGGTACATACTCTGTCACTGTTGGTTACATGTCTTGCTTGCCCACACAGTTTACGTTAGCCCTTGCCTCGGCACCAAATGATTAGCCTTGGCAGCTTCTGCAATTTACTTCATGACCACACGCTTAAAATAAACTAAGAGGCTGTTTGATGATATAAATGACCCGGCTTTCCTGTTTACAATAGCTAATAGTTTGTTTTACATTGCAAGACAGCCACTAAATAACAGGCTTCCAGAGCACACAAAGCTCGTTTCTAGCCCTTAATAGCAAAATAAATAAATAAAGAAGAGGTTTTATATCCTGGGTTCATGGGAATTGGGCATTATTCACAGACGCCGAGTCCAGATCCATCATGTTCAACAAAATGCATTTTATACAGGGGGTTTTAGATGGTTAATGCAGAATTATTGTTCTGTAGCAGAGATTATACCATAAAGTAAAAGGACAAGCGCAGGCGATACGTGTGTATCTAGTCTAACTAGTGCTCTAGAAAGAGCAAATATGCAGAATATATTGCAGTTAGTTATTCTGGAATTTTTAAACCAAGTTGTATTTTGGTTTGTGCTATAAGCTCATCCTCTTTCCTAACCTGCAGGATTCTCATTTTTGCTACAACTTGACTTTCAAACACAAGTGCCCCTTTAAACAGAAATTGTGAGTTATCAAATAAAAAAATAAAAAATAATAATAAAAAACAGCACAAGGCATTGATGCTGAGATGGAAGTAGTATCAAAGTTTCACAGGACATTATTTAGAAAACAATGAGTCGAACAGTAAGGCTAAGCACCCCAGATGTCTGACTATTATGTTTTTCGATAATACTGCAGAATGGCATGGTATAATGGCAAAAAAGTTTACAACGAACAGGAAGACCTTATTTAGTTAAAGAAATAAAATAATAGTATCTTCGGACATGGCTCATGTATTGACAACCTCGTTGGCAGACAAACCAAGTAACTAAAGTGCTAAAATGCAAACCAGCGAAATGTAGCAGATATTTTTAGAAGAAAGTGCCACCTAAGAGCTGGCTACATTTCAGTTCACATCGCAGTTAATACTCGAGAATCATTCACTGGGGTGATGAGTGGAAGTACTGTATCAGTTTAAAGCACACTTCTATCGAACTTGTGTCACATTCAGGTATGTACATAGACAATCTATACAAAGTGCTGTGAAATCGTCACTGATGGATAATACACCTTAAAATAAATACTTACCTGCCTCTATAATGTTACATAGTTACATAGCTGTAAAGAGAATTGTGTCCATCAAGGTAATTTCCTCACATATGTTTTTGCTGTTGATCCAAAAGAAGGCAAAAAAACCTGGTCTGAAGCGCTTCCAATTTTGCAACAAAACTAGGAAAAAATTCCTTCTTGACCCCAAAATAGCAGTCAGGTCCCTCCTTGGATCAAGCAGCTATTACTCCACTAATTAGAAATGATATCCCTGTATGTTATGTTTTTGCAAGTATTTATCCAATTGCTGTTTAAACATCTGTATGGACAGATAAAACCACCTCTTCAGGCAAAGAATTCCATATCCTTATTACTCTTACTGTAAAAAAAAAACCCTTTCTTTGCTTTAGATTAAATCTCCTTTCTTCCAGCCTAAATGTGTGACCTTGTGTCCTATGTATAGCCCTGTTTAAGAATAGATTTCCAGATAATGGTTTGTACTGGCCCCGAATATATTTGTATAATGTTATCATATCCCCTCTCAGGTGCCGTTTTTCCAAACTAAAGAGATTTACATTTTTTAATCTTTCTTTGTTACTGAAATGGTCCATTCCTTTTATCAATTTTATAGCTTGTCTATGCACTTTTTCTAGTGCCATTATATCCTTCTTTAGAACAGGTGCCCAAAATTGCACAGCATATTCAAGGTGTGGTCTTACCAGCGATTAATAAAGAGGCAAAATTATATTTTCATCTCGAGAATTTATGCCCCTATTTATACATGAAAGATGTTGTCAGAACAAGAAAGTCAGTTTAATGAATAGCTGAACAATTTTTCCATCTATACATTTTGCTCTATACTCAAAAGGTAGCCGTTGCCTTCACTGCCAAAAAGCAAACTAAACAACTACAACTTGGCTTGGACAAACAAGAATTACATTTTCTCAGACTTTTCTTGGAATTGTTTTTAAACGTTATTTATTTAAAGGTCAGCGGGTTGGACGTCAATCGTCACAAAGCAAAAAAAGTCCACCAGGCAGACTAACGTTATTACAGCTCACTCCTAATCACATAGTCATGGTCTATCGCTGGCTTGCTAGAAAGGTGTACTAGCATCACAAACTGCAGAGAAAATCAATCTGATCATACCACACACTGAGCTTTTTGCTTGTTTAGGTGTCAGTGCCACGACTCTTACCTGGCTTTGAATATGTGCTAAAAGGAATTATTGCTAGGCTTTTAGAATTACCTTTAAAGTTACATTTAAACAACACATTTGTCCCAGTGGTTATTACACGTGTAAGCAGCAATATTAAAGTACTGAGGGCAACCTTCACCCACATGGTTAATCACCCATCTTTCATGGTAATAAGAAAAATATTCAGCTTGTTTTTTGTTCTTTTCTGACAGTTGCAAAGTATACGGTGTGGCTCATTTGTGAGCTAAAATGACCTACCAGCTATTGTGACGTTTCCGGTTCACAATCCCTGCACACAACGTTGACTGGGCATCTTACGTAAAACATACATTTGATAATTGACTTGTTGGCAAGGTGACATCTTATGGCAATGCCCCAATTTGAGCCAACTGTCTGGGAAGTGCTGGCCATTCTATTGCCAATGTTTATTTATGGAGATTGCTTGGCTTTGTGCTGGATTATCTACACGTGCAACGAGAGAGTCACAGAGAGAGAGACAAACAGGGTTTTTACTAAAATTAAAATTCTAAGTGAATTCCAAATTGAAACTATGCCTTTAATCTCAGCTACTGGGGCCTTAGATATAAAATTTGCTTTGCATTCTCCCTTTAGTACATAAGCTTCAGAGAGCCTGTATATTTTCCTAACATTGTTGCCTTCTATCTATCGGAGATCTAATTTCTTTATGACTTTAAAAATAATAAAATACACACACAAAAAAAAAGTATTAATATTACAACACGAGGCAGTCTATACTCCAGAGAGCTCAATGCAGAGCAGTAATCCGCTACAAATTAGAGCACAGGTACCAAATGTCTAGTTTTGCAAGTTGTGCTGTAATTATCAGAAATATATACTCTCGATCTGCACGTGTCGACGTGTCTTTTATAGTTAGACAGCAGTAATGGAAGGCAAGCCTTTGAGTGCCATGTCCTGATACCACTCGCACAAACAGTAATTTTTCACTTCCGAAAGGAAGAGCAATTTCACACCTTTCTGTACTATACCTCCCACCATTCTCTCGAGAAAGCGGCTTTTGATTTGAAAAGTACTGGCAGCCACCGTAATCATCTCTTCCAGCGTTCAGCAGCTTGCAAATAATAGGTGCCAGTCATAAACTAACAAGGAAACAACACAGGCATTTAAAAACAGCGACTAAATAACTAAAACGGCTTCATGGTCACCTGAAATAAACTAAAAGTTAACATTATGTATTATACACCAGCACACTTATTATATCAAATTTGTGCATCACCCATCATTCCTAATGTTTTTTTCCCCACAGAATTCTATTTATATGGCTGTTCTTTTAGTATCATATACCGTGTTTCCCCGAAAATAAGCCCTAGCTGGATTATCGGGGGGGGCTGCAATATAAGCCCTACCCCGAAAATAAGACCTAGGCAGGGCCGGTACCTGCCGAGCCCTTAAAATGCCTCAGCCGCCTGAGCGCTCTATAGAGAGCACTCAGACGGCTGCCACAGTGCCTCACCTCCTCTTCCCTGTAGCGTGGCCGAGCTCCTCTCCGGTCCGCGGCCCGCCCGGACTGACAGGAAGTGCACACTGGGAGTGCACTTCCTGTCAGTCCGACCGGGTCGCGGACCGGAGAGGAGCTCGGCCACACTACAGGGGAGGTGAGGAGAAGATTGGAGAGGGGGGAGGGGGAGTATTACAGGGAGGGAGGGAGGGGGATAATATTACTGGGAGGGAGTGGGAGAGTATTACAGGGAGGGAGGGGAGAGTATTACTGGGAGGGAGGAGAGTATTACAGGGGAGGGGGATAATATTACAGGGAGGGAGGGAGGATAATATTACAGGAGGGAGGGGGGGAGAGTATTACTGGAGGGAAGTATTACTGGGGAGATAATATTACAGGGAGGGAGGGGGAGAGTATTACAGGGAGGGGGAGGGGGGAGAGTATTACAGGGAGGGAGGGAGGGGGGAGAGTATTACAGGGAGGGAGGGAGGGGAGAATATTACAGGGAGGGGGAGGTGAGGGTCTCTGTGGGGGTTACACAGCGCAGACACAGGCTGACAGACTGGCTCTAAGCCCTACCCTGAAAATAAGCCCTAGTGTGTTTTTTGTGACTAAAATTAATATAAGACCCGGTCTTATTTTCGGAGAAACACGGTATGTTGCAGTTCTCATACCTGAGCGAGTGATAAATGTGGGATATCATAGAAAGGACGGGAGAGACATTTTTGGTACAGTCCTGTCAAATTCGAGGCAGTAGGCATGTATGTACCTTAAATCTCTTACCAGAAGAAATCTTTTTACATGAGGAAGGAATGATAAAAATAAGTATTTAATCAAGAAAAGAACATATGTGAAGTATATTCAGAGAAATCTTCGGTGTTTCACAATAGCAAGCAACAGTGAGAGAAGATAATGTTACATCAAGAGGGTTATTCACAAAAATTAGAATTCAAGGTAAATTCCAAGTGAATTTCAAATAAATATATTAGAACTGATGGTTTGTTTTTAATTAAGGAATGCTTTCAGTTCAGCTAATCTGGACTGATTACATTTGAAATTCACTCTGAATTCTCACTTTGGTTTATCACCCTTCAAGTTTTCACAGGTAATTATGTCTATTTTTACATTATGAAATAAATTCTCATTAAGGAAATGAAAAAAGCCTGCTTGGAGAATGGTAAGCGACCTCCTGTGACTGGAAACCGACAGGAAGTGAGCAACTTTTATGGTTTTCTCTATAAACAAGACATGGATAAATCTTTGTATGTGCTCATGTAGAACCAAAACACTGCTTTTTAACTCGTCCACTGCAGATGTTCCTCTCAAAAACAAACAAGATGTCTGCAGAGACTGCGTCATTCTAGATTAAGCCGAATCATGCCTCAAAATCCCAGAATTCTGCAACAATACAGCGTATAGTGATTTAAACATGAGTGAATTGTTCAATTTTAACCCATCGACCTCAATCCTTAGCTCATTGAAAGTCTCAGTACATATTGGCCCATGTCAACAACTCACGGATATGCTGAGGGGAATTCCAAGGTAATTTCAAACACCGTAACTAATCACAGAAGAACACATTGTGTTTTCCTGAAAATCATAAAAATGGGACATTATGTTTGTCAAGCAAAAGTCAGGCACTCAGTAATGACCTGGATACCAATTAGACACCAGAATTAAAAAGAGTAAATCACTTTAATAATCACCACCATTAAACCTTGAACAGTTGGTACAAGTAAAGTAAACAATGAATATGAGATTAAGTCTGTTGTCACCTCTGGACACTAAAAAAAGAGCCTCAGCATAATGACCACTACAACAGATTGACAAAGATACGGCAGGCCCCCAAACAGGCCCGATTTCTGTGGGACAGTCCCAATTTATGGATCTTGTGCTGGTGTCCTTATTTCGTTCCCTGTTGTCCTACGTGCACGTGAATATTTTACTTCTGCACTAATCCATCCAAATGTGCATGTGCTGGGAGAAGCTTAGCCCAGAACTCGCTGCCTGTCATTGTCAACCAAAAGTTGGGTGGGTTTGTACGTATAAGTTGAAAATAAATATTGTGCATTATATTAGGGACAACAGAGAAGTCTAGCATTGAGTGCTGGGAAAGACAAAAACAGAAGAAAATATCTAGAGGACCTGTACCCAGGCTCCTTGCACCATAACCACTACAATAAGTATGGTAATAATGACATTAAAACCAACATTATACCATGAACAACCAACACAGTTTCAAGAAGGCACACAAAGCAAACAATTACAAACAGGGAAATACCAAGAGATTCTACGATGGCATTAATAAAATCACAGATTTTAAATAATGCATACTGTACTTTAACTAAAATGCTATTATACCCTCTGCGGGCACATAATAAAATACTTATAAATTAATCATGATGATAAATGTATTCGTGGTCTCTAGAATATCAAACAAAAAGCCATTGCGTGCCGTCAGTAGTAATAGAAGAAGTAAATAATGTGTGAAAGCTCTGTATGATATGCAGACTCACAACAGTAAAAGGTAGGCAAGCACAGACGCTACATGTTCACCTCTCTTTCATTAATGTAACATCAGAATTCAATACTTTTGTGGTGACATTCTGCTCCCCACCTGACGATTATATCATAAGAAACAGTCTTGGCACTTCTAGGGCAGACTCACACTACAGACAATGAAAAAAAACCAATTCATTTATACAAGCCAGTCTTGGATAAAATTAGCCATTTTATTATTAAAGGGACACTTTCGTCATACAGATCACTTTACCTCAATGACGTGGTCTGGGTGCAGTGGCCCTGTCCTTTTAACCCTGCAATGTAAAATATTTGTTTTTTGTGTGTTTTTGTTTAAACAGCAATGTTTACATCCACTTCTGAAGGGTTAAATCTGCTGTCATGTGACACAGAGGTCTACAGAAACGTACGGAATTCAATGCTTCCCTAAGAGAAACATTTGATTGGATGTGAAACTTCCTGCGCATGTGCATCAGGACCCATTAGATCAGACCATTGCACCAAAAGATATGCCTACACGAATGAGAATGAGCACCCTGCCAATCCTTGGACTAATCACTGGGTTCATCTTTGAGCCCAGGTCCCTTTCCCAAGAACAGCCATGATTTACATCAAATGATCTCCCATTTTAACAAGCAAAGTGCATGGCTGGTTCACGGGAAACAAATGGTGTATCTGTGTACAATAGGATGGAGCAGTAAAATGATTGTGTACAACAAGCATGTCAAACGCAAAGGCCAACATGGGCCAAATAAACAATGTTTATGTGGGCTGCAAAATTTTTTATTTTTTTTTTAAAGTTCAATGTAGACCAACAAAAAATAAAATTACTTGCATCACTCTCATGCAAACAATATGTAATCTTGGGTAAATATATATAATTTACTAAAAAGCTATAGTTCAAGTTACTCACTATACCCCCCGATCTAATACACAGACTCCCACAGCTCCCCCACTCTAATTTAATACACTGCCTCCCCTCCTTCCCCCAATATAATACATTCCCCCCCTTCCACCACTCTAATACACTGCCCCCCTTCTCCCACCACCCTAATACACTGCTCCCTCCCACAATTCAATACACTGCCTCTCCTCCCTCCCAATTTAATACTGACCCCCCTCCCACTTCTCTAATATACTGCACCACCTCTCTGCCCCCCCTCCATTTAATATACTACAGGAAAGTTCACCCAAGCCCCTCTTCCTCTACCTTAAAGGACCACTATAGGCACCCAGACCACTTCAGCTCAATGAAGTGGTCTGGGTGCCAGGTCCATCTAGGGTTTCAGATAAACGGCTATGTTTACATTAGGGACACTATAGTCACCAAACCCACTTTAGCTTAATAAGGCAGTTTTGGTGTATAGATCATGCCCCTACAGTCTCACTGCTCAATTTTCTGCCATTTTGGAATTAAATTACTTTGTTTATACAGCTCTCCGTGCATGTGACTTACACAGCCTTCTTAAACACTTCATGTATGGAGTCCTCTAATGTTTACACTTCCTTTATTGCAAATTCTGTTTAATTTAGAATTGGTTATCTCCTGCTCTATTAATAGCTTGCTAGACCCTGCAGGAGTCTCCTGTATGTAATTAAAGTTCAATTTACAGAGCAGGAGATAAAAACTTTTAAAGAAGATTGAATATGAAACCATTTTGTTTTCATGCACGCTTTGTGAGTAACAGCCAGATTTAACTCCTAAATGACAGTGAATTGAGCAGTGAAACTTCAGAGGGATGATCTATACATCAAAACTGCTTCATTAAGCAAAAGTTGTTTTGTTGACTATAGTGTCCCTCTAAATAGACAAAGTCCTAAACTACAAATAAAAAAATATTAAACAAAAACCTATTGAGCTTTGACGCTCCACATACAGCAAGTTCTTCACACGCAACGAATACGCTGAACCTCTCAGCCAATCTTAAAATGAACATTGTCAAACAGAGCAATAATGTAATGCTTATTGCCAAATTTAGTTGACGGAGCATATGGAAGGGGGTTACATGACGATGTGGGTACTTACATGGCCATGGAAGGCGTATTTGAGGAAAGCACAGTTAGAGCTGCAAATTCATACAATCGTAAGACAGACAGAAGTGAAACAGGGAAGTCCTGGTGTATTGTAAGCCATGGTGGAGGGAACATTGGTGAAGACACCTGTTATTCTCGCACATGAATAGCTTGCATGATTCACTATGCTATGTTACACAGGAACACGGAGTTAGGCTCCGAACAATCACTACGCAAAAGCTTTTAATGATGGCTCAAGAACCTAATTTCTTCATTGTTCATAGTCATAAATTTAAAGCACCTCATTTGTAGTCTATTCAGCACTGAGGCTATAAAGTCATTCTTCCAACCAAGAGCAGATAGTTAGTGAAGTTACTTTATGTTCAGCAGGCGAGTGTTTGAACTTCATTACATCACTCTTTAATTGTATTTGTATGTATGAGTTAGAGCCGAGGTGAATCCTATGACATATGTACCTACCAAGCCAAAATGACAGGGGGAATTGGGGAGCTTAACAAAATTACAACGCTCAGGAAAACCGGAAGAACGAGAAGGAAATTTGTACTAGTGAGAATAACAAATTATAGAACACACAGGTACGTAAAGAACGGTACCCAGAATTCCAAATATGCGGTCGAAAAAGTATTTTCTTTTAGTATAATGTATTTGGTTTTTTTTTCCCTTATTGTTCGAGGCTAACTGCAGATTGTATTTATAACCTTTTTGTTTTCAATGTGCTGTTTAGATAAAGCAAGATAAACAAACCAGATAATTATCTTATAATGAAAATAATATCACAAAGATAATAACCTTGGCATAAACCATGATGTGATCCATCACCTCTCACCATCACTGAAACCACGAACTGGATCATAAAACAAGCCAGTCTTCCCATGATTTGTATAACATAAGTATATGGTACAGGGTGGCTTTTTAGGCATCTCCAGCGATCAACTCCCAAGTGATTAGTGATACATTTAGAGCAGCATATAGATAAAATTATGCACACATATGGTAAAAGTTTATTAACCCCTTAAGGACCAAACTTCGGGAATAAAAGGGAATCATGACATGTCACACATGTCATGTGTCCTTAAGGGGTTAAAGTGCACACTATATTTATTCACAGATGCAGAAACACATAGCTAATCTCAAAATTCCTCATGTAAATATCACTTGTTTTCTGGTGTAATTGTAAAAGAACACAGAGTACGGATTCCTTGTATTGAATACAGAAGAATACAGGTTTAGTAGCACTTTAACAGCTATAAATGTGCTTTACTTCGGCAAGATCAAAATTACATTGAAGCACTACAGACTAACACGGTTATAATCTCAAAGCAATTCTACATAAACATCAAAAACATTTACTGTTACACGGTTACGGCCAAACGGATTTACCTTTTTTTTTGTAGTCACTATGTTTCAATTTGTGCTGTAACTATTACATTACAAGAATGTTTGTTTTCTTTGTTACAGATCACTGAAAGTCCTTTTTTACCTTGTAATAAGTCAAAAGGTGTGATTTATAATTTTTACATGGTTTATTACATGTATATATTGCTTTTTTAATCTCCTTTCTCGGTTCTATGCAAACTTTACATTCGGTTGTCATCATAAGACAATCAATCTTTTTAAAATTTGCACCTAAGAAGTGATCACTGTAAAATCGAATAGCCTTCTTTCCATTAGCAACTGCCGGTGGTAAGGCCCATTTTTGGTTTCTAAGTCACTTTCAGTAGTACCAAGGTAAACATACCTATGACTAAGTACTACGACAAACAAACATAAGGAGGGGCTTTGACACGGATCATTTTATTTCTTTGGATTGGATGTGTGCTGCCAGTTTTTGTGGCTGCAAACATAACACTGGGGTGTGGGACATGTGCGGAAAGCTATAAACACCAAAACAAAAAAGCCAACTCTGGAGCAACATGGCTCAGGAGCTTACAATCTAAAAATAAAAATGGGATTTGCATGTCACAGAGCTGTCACACAGTCAGCTTGAGGGGTGTTTTGTTACGCGAGTGCCATGTAGGCGCTACATCTCATAACGGTGTAGAATTGTCATAGAATACAAACACCACAAGTACTTTTCCTAAAATTCTGGAGCTGGCTTTTAACATCCAGGTTAATTTATCAAGCTGCAACTTCCAGCAGTAAAATAATAAAACGATCATTTTATTTCCAGGTAAATCATTAACGGTTCTCTTCCCTATCGCATACTGTTGACTTTCGAAGAGCCGCAGCCAATCCATCAGATTACGGATTGCATTAAGCAACTGTCAAGCATACCACTGTGAAGAGATGAAGAGACGTTTTTCTTGGTTTGCAACTCAATTGCATATGCATGAGTAGAGAATACATACGGCCCAGGAGAAGAGATGACGGTTTATAGTAATATGCACGGCTGGGCAGTGTACAGCCGATGAGCAGTCTTGTGTGATGGAATAGCAGAGCGCACTATATTCCAAGCTCAGTCAGGAGCATGGAAGACTTCAGGCGTAATTAGTATGCAGATCAAACACTTCAGCAACAATTGCCGGCGTCCCCTGGCATGAAACATTGACATGGCTAGCAGAGATGCAAATAGGCACGGAACGGTCACCAAGACACAGAGTCTCATCTTACAGGCAAATGTGATTAATAAAGCAAGGCCATGTAAGGAATAGCTAACAAAGGGAATGGTAAAAAAAATAAATATATATATATGAAAAAAAAAAAAAAAACAGATGCGCCTGACAAAAATAATTTGCATGATTAAATGTATACATAAAATCGGATGTTAAGCATCCTGAGTAACTTCGGTTTTAATTATTTACAAAAATATTATCTATGATCTCTGGTTAATAATATACACTGTGTGTTTGGAGCAGAGGAGAGTACACAGAGAATAAATACACGCAGACCTCCCAATTCAAAACAGTGAATATCAGGCAGCTGGCAGTGTACCATCCCCTAAGCAGTGCATATCAGGCAGCTGCCAGTGTCTCTCCTCTAAGCAGTGAATATCAGGCAGCTGGCAGTGGGCCTCCTCTAAGCAGTGCATATCAGGCAGCTGCCAGTGTCTCTCCTCTAAGCAGTGCATATCAGGCAGCTGCCAGTGTCTCTCCTCTAAGCAGTGCATATCAGGCAGCTGCCAGTGTCTCTCCTCTAAGCAGTGCATATCAGGCAGCTGGCAGTGTCTCTCCTCTAAGCAGTGCATATCAGGCAGCTGCCAGTGTCTCTCCTCTAAGCAGTGCATATCAGGCAGCTGCCAGTGTGCCTCCTCTAAGCAGTGTATATAAGGCAGCATGCCTCCTCTAAGCAGTGCATATCAGGCAGCTGGCAGTGTCTCTCCTCTAAGCAGTGCATATCAGGCAGCTGGCAGTGTCTCTCCTCTAAGCAGTGCATATCAGGCAGCTGGCAGTGTCTCTCCTCTAAGCAGTGCATATCAGGCAGCTGCCAGTGTGCCTCCTCTAAGCAGTGTATATCAGGCAGCATGCCTCCTCTAAGCAGTGCATATCAGGCAGCTGGCAGTGTCTCTCCTCTAAGCAGTGCATATCAGGCAGCTGGCAGTGTACCATCCTCTAAGCAGTGCATATCAGGCAGCTGGCAGTGTCTCTCCTCTAAGCAGTGCATATCAGGCAGCCAGTGTGCCTCCTCTAAGCAGTGTATATCAGGCAGCATGCCTCCTCTAAGCAGTGCATATCAGGCAGCTGGCAGTGTCTCTCCTCTAAGCAGTGCATATTAGGCAGCTGGCAGTGTCTCTCCTCTAAGCAGTGCATATTAGGCAGCTGGCAGTGTCTCTCCTCTAAGCAGTGTCTCTCCTCTAAGCAGTGCATATGAGGCAGCTGGCAGTGTGCCTCCTCTAAGCAGTGCATATGAGGCAGCTGGCAGTGTGCCTCCTCTAAGCAGTGCATATTGGGTAGCTGGCAGTGTGCCTCCTCTAAGCAGTGCATATCAGGCAGCTGGCAGTGTGCCTCCTCTAAGCAGTGCATATCAGGCAGCTGGCAGTGTGCCTCCTCTAAGCAGTGCATATGAGGCAGCTGGCAGTGTCTCTCCTCTAAGCAGTGCATATGAGGCAGCTGGCAGTGTCTCTCCTCTAAGCAGTGCATATCAGGCAGCTGGCAGTTTTACAAACAATTACACACCAGTCGAATACTCAGGGAACACAGCAGCTCACACTGGAGCGAGTGCAATTAACCAGCACCAAAACCCAAGCCATTACAACAAAGTAGCCTGGCATCAATAGACTGTGCATACATTCAACATGTTCTAGGCCTCGGGATGTGAAGAAAGCCCCAGCAGGCTTCCAAAAACAACTGAATCATCAGCTATTGTTAAAATATTGCTGAAAAAGATGGCAGGACAAATTGCAGCCTAAACCCTTTGTCAGCAAATGAAAGGAGAGCAGGCATGTCAGCACAGGTCCGTACACTCCTATCTCACCACACCCCGCAATGTCCGTCTGGTAAAATAGCATTCAGCTGGCACATTCCTTGTGGAAATCCCCCAGAAAGCTTCACATTCCAACCACGGCCCAGCCACCCTTCCACGAAATCCACCAGATCTCATCTTAACAACCAACGGTTTGACGTTTGTTAGTTTTCACTTAACTTGTACTTTATTACAAAAACTCTTTATTACATGCTTAAAAAAGGAAGATTTGACAGAATAGAATTACAGAATATTTTTTATTTTATCCACTAACCATTCCATGTCAGAACTGTCACAATACGAAGTGATTTATTAAACACTGATGGAGAAGAGATGAAAAATATTAAGAATAATATAAATATATATATATATATATACACACATACATACACACACACACACGCACACCATAACAGTGAAGGCCGCTCGCAGAGTCGCAGTCTGTGTAATATATTCCAGGGATTGCCTCGGGCAATGCAAAATGCTGACAACTTCTAAATAAACAATGTTCTGTTTTTACAGAAACTTTGTAACAGTGAAATATTCAAATTAGCTGCTTTGCCAGCTCTCCTCATTCTCTGCCCACCTACAGATAGTTCCCCATACCAGGGGTGCCCACATTTCTAACAATCTGCCGCAGGTTTACTCAAATTGAATTACTTGCTTTTATGCAGTGGGTACAGTTTGTATCACAATGTCCCTCATTTATCACAGAAACAGACCCATATACTAGGTAGAATAAAGGGATTTGAATTTTTTTGTATTTAGATTTTTAATTGTGTCTTAATGTAGAACTGCATCCTCTCCCTCTATACACTTATAAATGTATTTAAACATTAACTATTAACTATTAACTAACAAACTCAGTTTAAAAAGTGTACCTTGCATCATATCGCCCAACATTTCAAATGGACAAAGAGGGACCCTTTCCTTTTAGAGGTGTGGCCATGGGCAGGGCTGTTTTGAATACTTTTAGGTGACTTATTAAAGGACCACTATAGTGCCAGGAAAACATACTCGTTTTCCTGGCACTATAGTGCCCTGAGGTTGCTCCCACCCTCAGGGTCCCCCTCCCGCCGGGCTCTGGGGAGAGGCAGGGGTTAAAATCTTACCTTTCTCCAGCGCCGGGCAGGGAGCTCTCCTCCTCCTCTCCTCCTTCATAGCGACGTCATCGGCTGAATGCGCATCCGTGGCAGGAGCCGCGCGCGCATTCAGCCAGTTCATAGTAAAGCATTTACAATGCTTTTCTATGGACGCTGGCGTCTTCTCACTGTGATTTTCACAGTGAGAAGCACGCGAGCGCCTCTAGCGGCTGTCAATGAGAAACTGCTATGTTTATAAAAAAAAAAAAAAAGGGTTAACCCTAGCTGGACCAGGCACCCAGACCACTTCATTAAGTTGAAGTGGTCTGGGTGCCTATAGTGGTCCTTTAATATCAATTTAGGCAACTAAAATGTAACTTGGAGCAAGAACAATGTATCTTATTTACACAAAGTGATTTCGAAACTACGTTATTGTAGTTAAAGACACATTACTGGGAGCATTATTACTGTGGAGCTCTGTTATACACAGACACATTACTGGGAATATTATTGCTGTGGAGCTCTGTTATAAACTCAGATACAGCAACAATATGGAGCTCCTAGAAAAGAGGGATTTAGGCCCAAAATAGTAACTCCTTCCCTGTATCCATTGCCCCTACTTGCAGTAACATTTAAAGGGAAAAAAAAAAAGGCGCTTCTTTACCTTTAAGGGTAAAAAAATGTTTACAAACAGGGTAACCCCAAAGTTGGCTCTCCAGCGCTCTTCATCACTGTCCTTCTCCACATCCGCCTTCAGAAAATTAGCTCAGATTGACTTGGAGCGTTCACGGTTTAACCCCTAAAGGTAAGAAAGCACCAGGGTCCTCCTGGCACCAAAGCAACTTAATTTTGTTGAAGTTGTTATGGTGCCTGGGGTGTTCCTAATTATAAAGAGCTGCGGACAGGGAAGAATAGGAGTATTTCAAGAGATCGATAAATGTGTACAATCTGGAATATTTATATGCTGCTTTTATCACAGCTCGATACCAGCTTAGAACATAATGGATATCGCTTCCTTGCTGACATGACTTCACTTGGGCTTTTATCTTAGTTAATATTTGCCATTTATAGCTCTGCAACGCAGGCCAAAGGTCAAAAGCCTTCGCTCGCCTGTTTCTCAGATCCACTAAGCCATCGAGTCCCTTCCAATGACCAATCACAGGATTAGCAATGACAGCATAAAAACAGGAATACTTAATTACGACACGTTCCATTTCCAGGACGTTCTCGTAAATTACAAAGTAACACAGAGTGCTAACTTGTGCTGCATTCCTGGACCTTTTATCAGAAGGGTTTCCTTATAACGTCATATAGAAATATATTTAACATGACATGAATTAAGCAGCTTTTAAGGCATTCTGATGCAGAAAGCAGTAAGTGCATTATTAAAAAAAAAAATATTATTATTATTAACAAAATGGCCAAACTATGTTTTGAAGACATAGTATCCAAAGCTGATCTGAAATAAGGGTGGTTTTAGGGATTCTGTAATTGAGGACATTAGTAGGGAAAAAGAATGTTGGGGAGAAGAAATATAAATAAAAAAGGCGCCATTTCATTCACGGGTCAGATAAGGAAAAATGTATCAAAGAAAACAGCTTATTTGTGGACGTTAGCAGCAAAACTGTCCGCGAATCTGTAAATCTTCCAGAAGACGTGTTTCTCTTCCCTTCACTAGGCTGACGTTTCAAATCTGGAGTTAAATACAGCTTTGTAAATTTGGATATATAAAAGGTTACTTTAGGACCTCACAGACACATATTTGCTAATAAAAGGGAAATAAGTAAAGATAATACTAAAATAATATAATAAACTGCAAGAAAGTGACATTTCCCCTTTAAAATGTAGCCAATATACTTTTTGCTTAAATTTAAATAAAAAAAAAAACATGAAAAACAAAACTAATGCATATGTGGTGAGAGTCCTTTTACCTCTTTCTTCCACAATCTGTGCTTCTTTTCTGATCCAGTAGGGACTACTTTGTCATATGTATTTTTCCTACGTTCGACCTTCTTTGACCAAAGGAGGGGTTTAAGTCAGCTCCATTTCATGTGTCAGAGAAAGTACTCACCCTTCTCCTTGACACAGGAAATGGAGCTGACTTAAACCCCTCCTTTGGTCAAAGAAGGTCGAACGTAGGAAAAATACATATGACAAAGTAGTCCCTACTTTGTCTTATGTTTTAAAGAAAACTGGATCAGAAAGGAAGAAAAGAAGAAGAACAGATTCTGAGAGAGGAAGAGAAGAGGGAACAATAGGAGAAAGGTAAGTTTTGGCGTGACAGTGCCGCTTTAATTCTTTCCTATGGGGTTTTCCTTGACGCTGGAGGTCCTCTTGCAGAGCGTGATGACGAACAACGTCGTTTCATAGAGTCAAACTCTGTGTAGCCGCCTCTAGAGGCAGTCTTGGTACTGTAATGTAATCATTGCAGGGGATTAAGATGGTCTGGGTGCCTATAGTGTCCCTTTAAGCAGTTGCAGACAGTAACTCACAGTCGCTACTTGTGAAATATTGCAGTCGGTAAATAACTACTATAGCAGCGACAGGCATTTTGTCGAGCTTTGTCGAGCTGATACAAAGTACTGATAACGTTGGAAACAAGCCCATTGTTGTTTAAGATAATTTTACCAGTTTGGCAATTCTGGACTATAATATTATTCACTTTTAATTTCTGACAATTCACAGTTCAGTTAATAGCAGTGACATTTTATCCTAAATTGTACAATTCAGTTTTCACCTCGTTCCAGTTCAGCTTTTAGAGAATAAGAAAAGCTGAGAGTTGAATGGGGCAAGACATCTTAGCACCGAGTTCTTAATACGACTACAAATGAAAAAAATTACCATAATCAAAGTCTAAAAAAAGGAAACATATCCACAATTATAACACAGAGCTGGGAAATAATAGGAATGTACGGAATTGAAAGATTGTCTAGAAAGCAGCATATTTAACTTATTCATTATGGATCTTGCAGGCACTGTATAGAATGAGACGTCTGAATGCAGAACTGCAACATAGGAATTCATGTAATTCACATGTTTGAAAAATGCCTGGAGGGAATCCAAAATGTGAAATAATGTTTTTCTAAGAAAAGGGGATAAAAAGGGCATATTAACCCCTTCAATGCCAGAACTGCAATGTATGTTTCAGTTTAAATCTAGTCCACAAATCCTTTTTCACCCTCATTAACAGTAGAGTTATGATTACCAGCCTGTAGAGCAATTAATTTCTCTGCCAGAAGACACTAGTATGCGGATATCATGAATGCAAAGTTGATGAAAATGTCAGCTCCCCCTCCTTCCAAACAGTACAGGAAGTTTCATTGGGTGATACCATTTTTACAGTCAGGGACAGGTAGAAGTGAACGGACTACCATTTCACTGTCAGCATTACTGTACAAAGACTGATAAAGGTGGCTATATATACTGTAGCAGTTTTAAATACCTTTATTTTAGCAACATATGATTTAACTGTATTACTGTATGTGGGCATTATGTTCAAATGATGACTTTTTATATTCTGTTCCGAATTTTAGCAAACTGCACTACTAGTAAAATTTGATGTGTGATTTATTCACTAAAGACCAAATTCTAGTTAGTAAATTCCAAAGGGCAAAATTCAGCAAATATAGCGGTGATTATACTGTTGTTTGAGAATATGTTTGTAACGGTTTACCATTTGGATGTCAATTGATTACAATTTGGAGTTCAGTGAGTAATCCCTTTAGCAATTAATAACCAAACATTAAATAACGTATCTGAGTGCATCTACTTCCCAGAGGTTAGAAACTGATCCACTTATTTACTAAAACATGAATGTTCACATATTCACCAGGGAAGTGCAAATTTTAGGAGGAGATAATATAGAATGGTAAAAAAGTAGAGTTAAAAAAGTTTCTCAAGTCTATTGTGGCCTAAAATCTCATCAACTCCTGACAAGCCAATGTTTAGAAAACAAACCTGTTAATCTACCCCAAAATCTAAAATGAGGTTTTGAATGTAAAAATAAGGGTTTCGTGTCAGTCTCATTCTGGTTCAGCCTTAAAGTTTTTTTTTTCTGTTTTTTTTTTTCACAAAAACGATTATCAGATTAAGATGCAAGGATTTTTGGGACGCGTTTGACCAGGTACATGTTGCAGCAAGTAATCTGACTGACAGGTAATGTTTTACAAATGTGCTATATTTACACCTTTACAACTTACCCAGTTGTGTTGTCCGGCTTATACACTCATAACGTCTGCATTACGGCAAGACTAATCCAGTGTGTTCACGCATTAGAAGTTGTGTTGAGAATCAGAGAGGTACGACGTTCGAACAGGTTAATTTACTAAGCTGAACATTGTGTTACTGCAACTATAAGGTTAAATTGCTCACTTAGAAAATAGGCCTGCTGTGTTGAAGAATATTCCACGATTTGGTTGTTTTGACCTAAAACTTGCTATTAAAATTTGCAGTACCAGTCACGCCATGAAGGCCAGAAATGTAAAATGTTATCTGCTCACTGCGATAACGAGTAGATCATTATACACGCGTATATACATAAGTGCAAAAGAAGACCACATTTGAGATATGATACAATTATGGAAGCAATGCGTTAAGAATACGAACATACACTCTTGTCCTAGTGCCTATTAATATGTAGCCACTCATTGTCCAATCCAATGCTTCTCATAGAAAAGAATTGGGAACAATATACATATGTGCGGCAAGTGCTATGTGTGGACGTCCAGTTCGATGCTTCTCATGGGGAAGCATGGAATCCAATGTGTGAAGATGATGACCATCATGTAATCGAGTCAAACTCTATGTGTATGAAGCCCCTCTAATGGCTGTCAAGGAGACAGCAACTAGACGTGAGCTTATCCCTGCAATCATAACATTGCCATAGCTACTAAAATGTCAATGTTTTAATTTGGAGGGTTAAAACTAAAGTGCCACTGCACGCACATCACTTCATTGAAATAAACTGGTCTGGGTGACTTAGTGGTCCTTTGATAAAGCATTTTCTAATAGCCTGCATCATCCAAATGCCATAGAACAAAAAGGAGCACATTTGGAAGGGTTCATTCTAAATCTTTTGGAGTTGACTCAATAAACACCAACTTTTAGTGAATAAAATAAAACTAATTGCAAGATGCAGGCTGCAGTAACTAATCTGCGACCATAGCAGAGCTGGATTTTTCTAAATCAACCATTGCTGCTTACATCTTGCAGTTTGGTTTTCAAGTCTCTGCAAAATTAAGTTTTTATTGTATAAACCGCTTTATTCTTAAAGTGCAAGTTTCATACAGTGCAGATAACTCCAAATGCAGGAAGGAGTGGAACCCTCAAGCTTTAAAAAAAAAATCGGTCAGGGGCGGGGCTGGACCGCCGAGCTGGACAGTCGCAAGACAGACCAGCTCCAGCAAAAACTAAACCATTCAGCCACAAAACTACGACTTTTACCAAAAATACCGGCCAGCAACGGCGACCCTCGACGGGCAGAGTGCACTGAACCCAGGGTGAGGCTTGATCGACGAGTATTAGTCCCCTGGTGAAGAAATATTCAATGTTAAAGTGGAGGCCTGCTCCAGCGGTGAGTAGAGCGGATGGCCGCCGCCCCGCTATCCTGCTGAACAGTGTCCAGCCTGAAGCTTAAACCCTCGAGGAACCGGCTCCATTTCCCCCCCTCTGGACCGGCGGGGGTGATGCCGGTCCTCACCCTGAAGTCCCGACCACTACGACTGAGACTAAGGCCTAGCAGCACTACCAGTTGCAGACTCTAAGATGGCGGAGACCGCGCGCCTAACCCCAAGATCTGAGTGCATGAAAGATGCCCACCCCACAAACGCAGCTACCAACGCGGTTCAGCGGCACCAAATGATCAGACACCCACAAAGTCCAGCCGTACATACGCATCCTGGCACCCTAACGGAACACCTACCTCGGGTGACTCTTCAAGCTCCCGGCTCCGGTAAGGGGATGGAACAGCAACTAGCGGCGGGAAAAGGGGCACAGCAAGCCAAGCCAGTGCCTGCCCATCAGCCCCCACTCCGCACCACGCCACCCTCCAGACACACCGGGGTCCAGGTCCAGTGAGCCGGATGCCGCACATCACTCCCGGTATGTCGTGCAGCACCTGTCAACTAGCCCTGCAGCAGCCGCAACACAGGCAGACCACCGGACAACAGCGTGAACAAGCTGAATCCACAGAGGGCATGAATTCACCAATCACAAGGGGACTCTCTAAATATGACCTAAATAGTCTTCACCTGTCGCAGTATAACTATATCGAAATATTACCCGTTTTAATGTTCTAGCCTTACTATTTGCATTCATATGTAGCTATAGGGATCTAAGTGGTGATGATATATCTCTCATATTTCAGCATGTACCTAGCTAAACGTAAATTAAATATTCTGCCTGCATGTAACTTAATCTTGCACCTAATTTACCAAAAAATGTGCAATGCCTAGCAACTACCCTATTTGTTATACAAGCCAAGCAGCTCAAGGAATGCCGTTGGGGTACCTGGAGCCAGTTTGTAATTTTTTTTCACCTGCACAGCAAAAATAAAGATTTAAAAAAAAAAAAAATCGTTCACTGATCGGTGAAATTCTTGAACGATAAATGAATCAGACGGTCTCTCCCATTCAAGTGGTGCACTTTATAACATTTGTAGTGAGATGTAAAGCTAGCTTTGATGGGAACGGGAGTAAGGAGGACTGTACACAGATCTAGTCAGCGCAGACGCTGTGATCAAGAGCAATCCTTGGTTAATTGTGACCACAGATGTGGTTTGAGATTGAAAAGTAGGAAGCTGTGGTTTTCCTTTCTCAGGTGTTTTGACGTCGAAAGACTGCAGCTAAAGAAGATTGAGCAAAGACAGCAAGATTTAACTCCCGTAAATGAAGCATTATGGCTTTGCTTCAAACTATTTAAAAAAAACCAGAAGATAAATAAAGCGTATGCAAAGCTTTAATTTGACCTGTCCTCCGCATTAATAATGTCAGGGCATTTCATTGGCAGGAACAATTAAACCTTTGCATAAAGGCTTCCTGCAGAGAGGTACATGTGTAGGGCATTTAGAAATTATAATGTCAGGAAACAAATGGATCAGATTGTAAATGGTTAGAGGAAAAAAAAGCCTCGATTGTAGTAGTGAGGATTCTAAAAAACTATCAAAGTGGCAGAATAGAATGCAGCAGGATTGCACAAAGCACTCTATAGAACCAGCAGAGTTATACGCTGCATTCCGCTACAAACTGCCTTTTATGTTCAAAGCCAGAGTTTGCTCTCAAAGCTGCATTATGTGCCACGTTATGTAATAATTACCGTTTCTTAAAGAAAAGATAAAATTCAAACAGATTTTGATGTTTTAAGCCCCAGTGCCAGAAATTTAAGCAACCGAAATTTAAAATGTTACGGAAGACATTTGAACTGAAATAATGTTGCAAAAAGAGTAATTTGGGTTTTAAAAATGTATATTCACGATCTTTATTTTAACCAAAAACCAAGAGATTATTCAATAAAGTGAGAATTCAAAGTGAATGTGACATTCTCCAATTTAGTTACGCTTTCACTTTGACTGTTTCGGCCTAAAATACACTATAGGTGTTTAGGGAAACTCTTAGCAGGAACTACACATCGGAATCTACAGGTGACGTTTGTCCACAAAGCATGATGGGTCGGACGGCCCCAAGCTCTCTGTACATTCTATAAAGCTAGCTAGCTGATATTTCAAAGTGAAGAAAATGTTGCAATTAAAAAAACAAAAAATCCCCACAGCAATAAATCAGTTTACCTGCTGTTAATGTTTTCATGTACAAAACAAGTTGTCACATTTTTGTACAAATTAAAAATTCCTGACGCTTGTTTAAGCCATTAAATAACAATGACTACTGTAGGGGGTGTTGGTATTTCAAGTAAGGAGAAAGCCACATCTATACAGAATGTCAGAGCAATGCCTCAAACACAGATAGAAATCAGCAATCAATTTTAGACTTTGCTACTGAGTGGTAAAGAGATAGCACAGTCACTCTGGGGCCCTGTACACTTTGACCTCTAACTGCAAGGAGAGCAAGCAATACACTCTGGTGATTGCTCACCCCAAAGGGACTATGAACTGCAGCTGCGTTTGGCCTAATCACATTCTAAACTGGGCCAGATCTAAAATTCGGAGCACTAAAAGAAAATTACTAGAAAAAGAGGAGTACCGAAATGCTGTGAAAATCTGGGAAAGCGACAACGCTGAGTGCGTGGTGTGTACGGCCTAACATACTAGGAAAAGTTCAGCCCTATACAAAGTAGCAATCATATAATTTAGGACAGAAATCAAGCTTTGGAATTCCTTCTGTAATAATAATAATAATAATAATAATATATTTTTTTTTAAAAATGGCATCCTGTCTACAACATATCAATCCTATAGGCTGCAGGGCAGAACTTTCTGCTTTATGATATGATTCACATATCATAAAGCAAATAAATAATATTAATAATAAGATATAGCAGGCATAGCAGCCTCTATTAATGAGTTTTTACAACACTTCTACAATGCCACGCAAAGTACACACACAAAAAAATATATTAATCACAGGCAGCATTGCCGTTGTGTACACAGACTCAGAGAGAGGCCCAATTACCGCATCGCTGCTTAGAAGACAATGCAATAAATTGCACCTTAATTTTAATAAATTTGGAAAAAAAAAAAATTCTATAAAACTGGATCATTTTGGTAAATTAAAGTTTAATTTAACTCTATTAAAGTTTTTTTTTATAGAGAAATGCTTCCCGTGTATATTTTAATCACTATTATTCTTACTGTGTGAAACTGCCGTGAACTGGCATGAAGAAACTCTCTCTAATTATTTCTTGAGAGAAAGAGGTAGAGTGAAGTTTTCCATTTGACAGAAAGAATGGAATGTAGACAAAGGAAGGTTTCAGCAGACGCAGCTGTGTCTCCGAATTCCAGGAGCTACGCTATCTGATAAGAAAAGTTTTGCAAAGTCTTAGAACACTCTCTGCATTTTGCTCTAAACTTGGAATTGGATTGAAATACAAATGGCTATATTTAGGCAAAAATAGAAAAAGATTGTGAAAAATTCTCCAACCCCGCTATAGTTACAGCTTCGCTGTTTAAACCTAAATTTGAACATTGGATTTCAACTGGCTACAAAAAAATAATCCATGTCAAACGTTTGTCCACTAAACCAGAAATTGTTGAGAACTGACAAAGAATTTACAAAATGACCGAGGAGGCCAAAAATATAAACTGAATGGTATTCACAATTCAGGTTTGTTGGCCTCAAAATTGCGATTATCTTGTTAATAGTTTACAATCCACAATTTGAAAAAATAATAAAAAAAAAACTCTACAGTACAAAGAACTACACCAACAAAGTTATCCACGAACATAAAAATTTCCAAGTGAATTTCAGATTTATGGCCACAATAGCCTTAGTTATTTTTGGGGCCTGCAACTTGGTTTTGAATTCCCTGCGATACAGTGAATAGGCCCATGTTTTCTTGACCTGAAAATGTTAGAGGATCATTAATCACATAGAGAAGAGAATGTTTGCCAAGTACGCCACTTTCTGAAATGTTTATGAATATAGCGGATATCTTATTACATTCTTGTCTTCAAAATATGACGAGACTACACAGAGCAAATAGCAGAAATGCTACTTTATCCTAAAATTCGGAGAATAACCTCTCTATAACCAGAATATGCCAAATTTTGACAAAAAACAGGAACCAGGGGCCGTGAATCCTGCAAAAGTTACAGTTCGTGGCAAAGTTTATAACATTTTTTTCATATGGCACAGTTTGTTTTCCTGGCACTGGAGAGTCCCTTTAATAAGAGCCCCAGCAGCCCATCCCCTCTGTGCTGATTGAGCTAGTGAGTAAGCTTTAGTTTAAGCAGTTAGAGACAGATGTGATTGGCTGAAAGTGTCAGCTGACCGCTTTCAGCCTATCACAGCTCTCATTGCTGATATTATTTGATATGGCTACAAGGAAGTATGTAATCTCTGACTTAGCCACACCTCCAGTGGAGGTGGAGCTATAAAATGCCAGGGACCTTCATTCGGTGTTAAACTGCTTGAAAATGGTTTAACACCGAATAAAGGGCCCATGCCAGGCGACTCCAGGCACTATAACCACCTAAATAAGAAGAAATGGTTATAGTGCTTACAGGGTCCATCTAGAACTCCCATTTTGCTACCCAGGAAAGTGTGACAAGTTTATTATGGTTAATAAAGGAGGATTAAATATTAGAGGCAGTTGACTAGGAATATTTACATAGGGGGTTTATTCTCTAAATCGAGAATTGTGGACAATAAAAAGAAAAAAAGAAGAATGTTTGGAGAAAGTTTCCAATTTTTCAGTAGAGTCGGTGATTCGTTTCAGAACTGCAATTCAGCTGAATATGGACTGATCAGAATTCATCCAAATTCCCACATTCTGGCCAAAGTATACTGACTGACGGATTATGGATTAACCAAACCATGCAGTGCTGAACATGTTCAGCTGGGGGAGAGAGAGGGGGGGTGGGGGAGGGGCAATTTTCAGAATTCAACCCATGGCACAAAAAAAACAACAACAAAAAAACAGGATGAATGATGGGATAGAAAAAAAATATTACTGATTGATGGCTAGGGGACCATAAATGTTGATTTTATTAACAGACCAAGTGAGAAATGAGCAAGAGGGAAAAATTAGTAGCCGTAATTTTTTTAAAAATACATCTATTTTTATTACATATTTAATTTATATATTTGTTTTATTTATTTATTTTTACTGTTCCTCCTTTTCCCCCTCTATTAGTTAGTTTTATTCACTTAATGTGTGAACCAAATGGTGGGAAAACACTCTATCAGCGTACTGCAATATATATACTTTTTTATATTTTATTTAATTAATATTTTCGCAGTACATCGATGGGGCTATTTTTACGCCTTTTTGTTTGATTTGGTTTCCAAATGGAAATGGTGAGTTAATAGTACTGCTGTCCCTGCACTGGGCTAAAAATAAGGCAAATAGTCTTAGACCTCGAGCATTCCTGTGATATCTACAGGTCCTGTCATCCTACGCCTCCCACGTTCACGCCATCTCAATGAAGAATTGGCACAGAACTCACTACAGAAAGCAACTGCAAGTTCAGATTACTCCATCAGAAAAGGAAAGCAGGACAGTCTCATGCTGGGTGGGACCTGTTTAACCCCTCTATGGCCAAGTACATCCTTCAACAAGTTAGCTCATGCAGACACTATCAGAGTTATTCGCTTACTTGGTTATTTACTAACCTGACAAATCAAAGTGAATTTCAAATTTAAGGCCCGAGTAGTCAAACTGAAATCTTCGCTAACTTAGAGAATTTTTAAATTTTGGCTACTTTGACCTTACATTTGAAATTCAGTTTGAATTCTCATTTTTGTGAATATTCATGTAAAGTATGAATTGCTGGGAATTTGAAATGAATTCAAAGTGAATTTCAAATGTAAGCCCAAAATAAACAAATTGGAAAAATTATCCAAGACATGCATGTTTTCAGCACGCCTATTTTGGTCTAAATGTTTAAATCCACTTTGAGTCCACGTTAGTTAGGAACCCAGAATTCCTAGGTTTATCCTGCTTATGTAACATGAGCAGCTGTATAGAGTAATGCTGTCCCTAAAAGGAGTCTGACTTTTCACATCGATACAGGATTTGTTTGATGTTATAAGCAGTTATTGGCCCTAAGGGGATTAAAAAATTTGCATTTGTAAAATAATTTAAAAAAACAACAAACCACCAAATAAATGCAAAAGCTAAAATAATTATTTGGGGTCAATGAGCGTATATTTTACTAAATTATATTGCAAATTGAACATTGAAACGTGTATTATCTCCAAAATAGAACGCTACGCAACATTGATACAAAGTATATGCACAGAATGTAATATACACTATCCCAAATACCACATTTTGTAAGGATGCAGTGGATGTCTGTCGTACCAGTAAACAGAGTCTGTCTGGCAGGGTTATTTACTAAAAAGTGAGAAGTCAAAATGAATTCAAGGTGAATTTCTGACTTAGAGAATTTTTCCAGTTCGGCTATTTTGAACTTGAATTGGAAATTCACTTTCATTTTTACTTTGAAAGTCTCACTTCGAAAAAAAAAAAAATTCAATTGATGCCATTTTAACCCTGAAATTTTACCATGGCTAACAGGCCTCTCATGGCTGTCAGCATCACTATCTAAAAAGGAATGTAAAGAAAACTGTGAAAGCCCTGGAATATCTCAGATAATTAATCACAGCAATTCAAACAATCACGAACAATTAAATTGTGAACTCACAAGGTATCAGGCTAAGCATCTCGGTAGAAAGTCCTGTGTTTGCTGGAATTTAAGATCACTGGATTAGTCCCCTGTCCTTTGTGTATTGGTATGTGCATTGTGGGATCAGTATTTACCAAGTTGGACAGTATTACAGTATATAAAATCAGCATTGATAATTTACAGTTACAAAAAAAAAAAAACAAACAAGAAAAAAACACAATATACTATGTATAGGAAACAAAAAAAATAAAAGGAAAATACGACAAAGAGCAAACATTAAAAAAAACAAACCAACAACAAAATGTCAAGTTTTAGCTCAAAAGAAGAAAAACTAAAGTTGGACTTGTCTAAAGCAAGCAAAGTCTTCAAAGGATATTTGATGTTTACACTCCTAGCAATAATATGCCCTACAGCAGACTTCCCCTTGTTAGACTCAGATTCTGTACTTTGAATGAATATTCCTTCACAAGTACTGAATCAACTCAAAGAATGCTTAATGAGGCCTCCACAGTCATTGCTCCAGCTTACAGCATGGGTCAGCCTGCTCATACAGATGAGGAAACTAAAACACAGAATTCACAGAAATCACTAAAAAAAAAAAATGGAAACACCATTCTGGAAAATGACAGAAAAAATAAAATAATAATATATACACACACACAAACGGAAAATGACAATGTAATTATAAATCAAATATTAGGTTTACTAGAAAAGAAGAAAGCATTAACATTACTACAAAAATACATTCAAATAAAAATAAAAAATAAAACACACTACATTCGTATAAAATCAGCAAAACTACTATAGCGACATAAAAACCATAACTTTACTTTTAATTGCAAAGCAGGATTTCTTCAAAAAACAAACAAAAACACCCCTTCTGATAGTCTGAAAATCAGTAATAACCAAAATACAGATTGTATCAATAACCAATAAATTATCCACAGACACAGCTCAATCCCTGTTTGAAAAAGAAATCCTAAAATGTATCAGCCCACAGTCAAAGCATGACACAAGGATCTGAAGAAAGGAGTCAATTCTCATTGCTGGCTAAGCTTGGCATGCCAGATGTTTGTGGGTTAAAGGCTGCCTGAGTGTCTTGGGGCTTGCAATCCACAGACATCCTGGGGTGCCAGAGTTCGTTATCCCTGCACACCAACACAACTAAGTCTTACAGTGGGGAGGGGGAGTGCTGAGGCTTTCCATTTACATTTACCTAATTAAAGAGTAGAAAGATCACCATCTACACATGAACACAATGTGCCCCATAGTGAGCTCCCATTTAGCAAGCTCCTGCCAAAGTCCACCCAGGCAGGGCCACAATGGCAGCAATTAATGGGAAAAGGTTTTCCTGAAAACAGCTTTATACAAGCAGGGCTAGCCACAAGCACTCACTAAAAAACTCTCTGAGTGTCTGGGAGGCGTGTCCCCCCTCTCCCCTTACAGCCCATGCCACCTAACTGGCACCAATGTAAATCAATGGGGACCTGAGCCTTGAATAAGGGGGGCTGGATACCCCCACCAGGTAAGTTGGCCAATGCCCCCAGTGTACCAGCCAGGCTGGGGGAGAGGACTCACTCACCGAAAGTTGAAGCAGAGTGCCGAGTACACTGAGCGCTGATCACAGGCAAGCCTCCAGCTGCAAGCCAAGTCCAGCGCCGTGCCCACTGCCCCTACGCACTCCTGGGGCCATATCAGCGCAGAGTACACCACCAGGACCTGCAGCTTCCCTCTCTGGGAGAGACACACCTGTGGGCGATGCACACATCCGCTCCCCAGCACAATACGAGACAGGAAGCAGAAAAAAGAGCAGAGAAAGGGAGAGGAGAGAGGGAGAGAGACACACAGAGTCCTCCTTCTCCCCCTCCTCCCTGCCTCCCCTCCTCTCCCTTCAGCTGGCTGGAGAGGATCGGGTTACACACAGGCTGGGCATGCTAAGGGGGGAGGCTGATAGGCATGCACATTATTTATTATTACTAGTCCCTGGCGAGCTGGGGAGCAGCCCATTAACACATACTGCACTCACTGGGCACAGCTCCGGCTATCAGTGGGTTAATCTCATCTGCCTTTTGTTTACATTCATAACAGAACGTTCAGTTATCAAAACAAATACATTGTATCATCTGATAAGGAGAGGGTGGGCTTTGTACTCTGTCATGTGTGTAAACACTGAGAAAAGGGCTCACTTCTCTGTTTTCTGCTCAATATCTGTCTGTCTCTCACTGTCCGTCTCTCACTGTCTGTCTCTCTCTCACTGTCTGTCTGTCTATCTATCCTCTCTCACTGTCTGTCTGTATGTCCGTCCATCCAATTCCTGCATTGCACAGTTGATGTCCTTTACATATATGATAATATGAAGATGATATTAAGGTATACTGAGAGCACAGTAAATACTGTATGTCTGAAAGTAAATTGATTTGTTTATGCTCAGTAAATCCAGAGATTTGGTTTCATGGAATCAGACAGGGATATTTCCCAGCAAAGTTACAGAAGTAAACAGCATTGGATAGATTTCTTCCTGGTATGTGAGAATATGAGATGATTTGCTAAGCAGAGGAGCAGCTTAGACAGACATTCTGAGACAAGGCTAAAGGTCCCATTGTTTTGCTTGCAGCTAATTTCACAAGTCTACATACATTTTGCTCTTTTCTTATGACACATTATGTTACAAAAAAAAAATGCCTTTAATCTGAGCCGGTGTTCTCAGACAACATAGTGATTTCTTTTTAGTCATTTTTACAAAATTTGCAAAATAAATTGTGCCCGTGCAAATTTACATTTCCTCCTCACTAGCGCCATGCACAGATTTTGCACACATCATGCATTTTATAACGTGGCATATTGGCACTTTTTTGGAAACGCTAGTCGCTAAAGCGAAAAAGGCCTTGATTTTCTTAACACTATTAAAGAGACACTCCAATCGCCATAGCCATTTCTGAATGTTGTAGTTGTTATGTTGCTAGGGGGCGGACCCGGTACACTTTGGGGTTGATTCACTAAATGTCGAATTGTGACGCATTGAAATTCAAATGGCAAAACATGCGCAAAATAACTGAAAAAAAATCTCAGTTATAATCACAACTTGAATCACCCGAATTTTGCCGATTGGATTGCCGCTAGGTATAGTTTGTAAAAATCCTTGTGACGCTTATATGCTTTTTATTTTTGTTGTTTTCCTTGCCTACAGAACTGCTTTACATTATATATCATCAACATATGTTTAGTAGTACATTAAAGTCTAGCAGGGGGTTCAGGGATGTACACTTTCTGTCACCCTGGTTAGCTCGTGCAACCTGTATCCAAAGTTGACATATTGCAACCCCCTACCATGTGCTCAAACCTACTTTTGATGATGTTTAGACTGTCAGGAGGCATCAAATTTATAAGAATGCTCTTAAACAGCACAGTAGCCTTCTGGTGGACTTAGCATACCTGCCGACAGTCCTGTGTTTGGGCGAACAGTCACAGTTTTAATCTAAAACTCACAATCCCAGCTATCTTTTTCCCAACCTGTCATTCATTCTCCCCAACCCAATATACACTACTCAAAAAAATAAAGGGAACACTTAAACAACACAATGTAACTCCAAGTCAATCACACTTCTATGAAATCAAACTGTCCACTTAGGAAGCAACACTGAGTGACAATCAATTTCACATGCTGTTGTGCAAATTGGATAGACAACAGGTGGAAATTATAGGCAATTAGCAAGACACCCCAAATAAAGGAGTGGTTCTGCAGGTGGTGACCACAGACCACTTCTCAGTTCTTATGCTTCTTGGCTGATGTTTTGGTCACTTTTGAATGCTGGCGGTGCTTTCACTCTAGTGGTAGCATGAGATGGAGTCTACAACCCACACAAGTGGCTCAGGTAGTGCAGCTCATCCAGGATGGCAAATCAATGCGAGCTGTGGCAAGAAGGTTTCCTGTGTCTGTCAGCGTAGTGTCCAGAGCATGGAGGCGCTACCAGGAGACAGGCCAGTACATCAGGAGACGTGGAGGAGGCTGTAGGAGGGCAACAACCCAGCAGCAGGACCGCTACCTCTGCCTTTATGCAAGGAGGAACAGGAGGAGCACTGTCAGAGCCCTGCAAAATGACCTCCAGCAGGCACAATGTGCATGTGTCTGCTCAAACGGTCAGAAACAGACTCCATGAGGGTGGTATGAGGGTCCGACGTCCACAGTTGGGGGTTGTGCTTACAGCCCAACACCATGCAGGACATTTGGCATTTGCCAGAGAACACCAAGATTGGCAAATTCGCCACTTGCGCCCTGTGCTCTTCACATATGAAAGCAGGTTCACACTGAGCACGTGACAGACGTGACAGAGTCTGGAGACGACGTGGAGAACATTCTGCTGCCTGCAACATCCTCCAGCATGATCGGTTTGGCAGTGGGTCAGTAATGGTGTGGGGTGACATTTCTTTGGGGGGCCGCAGATGAGATCCTCAGACCCCTTGTGAGACCATATGCTGGTACGGTTGGCCCTGGGTTCCTCCTAATGCAAGACAATGCTAGACCTCATGTGGCTGGAGTGTGTCAGCAGTTCCTGCAAGACGAAGGCATTGATGCTATGGACTGGCCCGCCCGTTCCCCAGACAGGAATCCAATTGAGCACATCATGTCTTGCTCCATCCACCAACATCACGTTGCACCATAGACTGTCCAGGAATTGGCAGATGCTTTAGTCCAGGTCTGGGAGGAGATTCCTCCGAAGACCATCCGTCACCTCATCAGGAGCATGCACAGGCCTTGTAGGGAAGTCATACAGGCATGTGGAGGCCACACACACTACTGAGCCTCATTTTGACTTGTTTTAAGGACATTACATCAAAGTTGGATCAGTCTATAGTGTGTTTTTCCACTTTAATTTTGAGTGTGACCCCAAATCCAGACCTCCATGGGTTGAAAAATTTGATTTCCATTTTTTAATTTTTGTGTGTTTTTTTGTTGTCAGCACATTCAACTATGTAAAGAACAAAGCATTTCAGAAGAATATTTAATTCATTCAGATCTAGGATGTGTTATTTTTGTGTTCCCTTTATTTTTTTGAGCAGTGTATCTTGCTCACTACTCCACCTAGCCCCCACAACCAATCTCCCCCTCCCGTTCTGCACCCCATACCGCTCTCCACAGGTTCATAGGATCTGTACATGTCAACATTTCACCCTTTATTACATTTAGATCCCCCACCTCCATCTCTATACACCAGTTCTATATATATACACAAGCCCATCCTCTTACCCATGTAAAATTTCCAGGGAGTGGTGTGGTCCTGCCAACTAGGGGGGGATTGCCAGTTCCTCACTTTACTATGGATTACGTATAAGAGGCTTTCTGAGAATGTGAGTTTAGAATTCTACATCATTACAAGCAGTGGCGGCTGATGGTGGGTCACTAAACTGTGCTGCTTGGCTTGTTGGGCTCTGGCCAGTTATCCGTGTATTCAACCTCTGACCAGTCGAGATGCCATGCCTTTTCCAACACCAAAAAAATATACATAAATGTATTTTTGTAACAACAGACACGTTAAAGTGGTCAGAATCTGCTGATACATAGTGACAGCCCTAAAAGGGTGTTCAGGATACAAAGCTAGTGGGTAATGTCCGAAATCCTGTCACAACAGATTAAACATTTCTCAGGGATCTTTTCCTAGAAAGTGGGTAAAGGGTTTGCCCCAAAAGCCAGACATGATTAATAAAGTGTTCATATTCTTATCTTTAACTCTGACCAGACCGGTACTAAGAGGTACGCCCCCACCTGTCCCTATGGAGCAGAACCCATTGCTTCCAAAGCCTCGTCCTTACATTGTGCAGTAAGATGTGCAGATACCTGTTTAGTACCTTGTCAGTGCGACAACAATTGGGAAGTAATAAGTTGTGACATGGTCCTTCACATCTCAGTCTTGCCAAAAGCAAAATTCTGTTCAAATAATTTTCTGAACTAAGGTTAATACTTACCATATAAAACAGTGTGCAAATTAACCCCAGGTAGGGCATTTTGCTACCCCCAACCACATGCCACATATTACCAGGGAAAGCTAAGATTGTTCTTTTACACAAAATAAAGTAGGGCTGTGTGGCAAGGGAGTAGCAGTCTTTAAGCCCACCCTGGTAACTGTTGGATTAAACAGGCTCTGGTGATTCTATTTTTAATTTTATCTTCCATGTTTCCGAGGGTTGAAGGTGAAGGTTGAGAGAGGGCAAGCCATCAGAGTTTGTCTGGTTCATGGTGCCTCTGTTGATTGAGGCAAACAATTTTTCTTTTTTTAGGGTCTAGAACGTGTGGAATTGCTGCCTTTGATTGGTTTTAAACATGATACCCTGTGTTATTTAGGAAGTGCTGTAATCAACTGTCGGTAATTAAAGTATGTAGCGCTCGCCAAGTTCAACGATTATTCATTGTGACTAGTGTAGGCTAATCTATGGACACTAAATATGAGAGCAGACCATGGCTCCAGAAAAGGAAGGCTAGATTTTTTTTATAAACCCATTTTTATTATTATTATTACTACTATTATTGTTATTATCATTGCCATTTATATAGCACCAACAGATTCCGTAGCTCTTTACAATATTATGAGAGGGGGGATTTAACTGTAAATAGGACAATTACAAGAAAACCTACAGGAACGATATGTTGAAGAGGACCCTGCTCAAACGATAGATAGGGTATAACCCTATCTATCTTTTATACATGGTTCCCTGTAAGGTATATCGGACAAATTTGTTGGAATGGGCTAGGTGGCGAATAGAGCAGGATTTTCAGCCCATGCGTATTATGGACAGTATTCATGCCGTATTCAATCCTCACCCCACCCATTAAAACACTGTACCCACAGCAATCCTCGAACAATGTCCTGTATCAATGACTCCAAATATGGTGCATTCAAGTTGGACATCACAAATGTTATTATTGGAGGTATTATTTCTCTCTCAGTTTTTCATGCGACTCTGAGCTAGCAATGCAATGGTGCCAAGATTAAACCTGGGTCTTTTCAAGACTGCAGTTGGGGCTCCTGCCCCTGTCAGCCCTCCCCTAGCAATGCCTCTGGGTGACACGTTAAAGGGACAATCCACTGCCCAAATTCAAAATAAATAAAAATCACTGTTTAGAACTCCGCCATTGCTGGATGAAAAAAGAGGAGGGTTGGGCGTGGGGCTAGCAACCTCACCCTGGAAAAACTTCAACCGCTACAGAAACACCGAAAAGACAGAGTATTACAATAGACTGCAGAAAATCGTAGAGACATTCCGAGCAGGAGACATTTTCATCCTTATGGGAGACTTCAACGCCGAGATTGGACCCAACAACACAGGATATGAACAAGTCATGGGGATACATGGGCTGGGAGTGATGAATGATAATGGGGAGAGATTTGCGGAATTGTGTACGCTTAACAACCTGGTCATTGAAGGTATCATCTTTACTCACAAGCGGATCCACAGAAACACCTGAGTATCACTGGATAGTGTGACAGAGGTCCAGATTGACCTCATCTGCATTAGCAAGAAGTTTAGAAGATCCCTGCAGGACTTTAGAGTTAGAAGAGCAGTAGATGTGGCGTCCGACCACCACCACCTAGTAGTAGCCAGCATGCAGGTGAAGTTAAAGAAGAACTGGATGGAAACAACACAGTGCAGAGTGAAGTATGATGTCAGCCGACTGAGGATCACCAGCGTCAGGAAGGAGTTTGGACTTCAGTTGAAGAACAAGTTTGAGGTGGTACATGAGCTGTACGGGAAAGAGGAAAGAAGCAGTGTACAGGCCAGCTGGTAGATAATAAAAGAGACACAGAACAGGTTGTCAAGAAGTGGTCGGAGCAAAGAAACATCACCACAAAGAGTTGATCACAGCTGAGACCAAGGTCACTGCTGAGACCAAAATGCAAGATAGAAGATAGAAAACAGAAGAAGGTGGCAGTAAACAACAGCAGGACTAGGGCAGAAAAATCCAAGGCCCAAGTGGAATACGCAGAAGCCCACAGAGCAGTGAAGAAGAGCATTAGGCAGGACAATAAAGACTACATAGATGGACTGGAAGCTGAAGCAGAACAGCAACATGAAACAGCTGTACGACACGACTAGGAAACTGTCTTGGAAGTACAGCAAACCAGAACGACCCGTCAAGGACAAGGAGGGAAAGGTCATCACAGGACTAGTGCAGCAGATGAATAGATGGTCTGAACACTTTGAGGAACTCCTGAACAGACCAGCACCACCAAATCCACCAGACATCAACCCAGCCAACGAAGATCTCGCCATCAACTGTGGCAAGCTGACTAGAGAAGAGATCGGGAAGGCCATCACCTTGATGAAGAATGGAAAGGCAGCTGGACCTGATGACATACCAGCAGAGGCCCTGAGAGCAGACCTGAAATCATCGGTGGAGATACTGTACCAACTCTTCGAGAAGATCTGGGAGGAAGAAGAAATACCGACTGACTGGAAGAAAGGGTATCTAATCAAGCTTCCAAAGAAAGGTGATCTCAGCAACTGTAACAACTACAGAGGTATCACACTCCTGTCAGTGCCAGCAAGGTCTTCAACCTGATCCTCCTAGAGCAGATAAAGGACATTGTCGATCCACAACTACGAGATGAACAAGTAGGCTTACGGCAGAATCGATCATGCATGGACCAGATTGCTACGCATCATAGTCGAGCAGTCCTTGGAGTGGAACTCATCGCTGTACATTAACTTTGTCGACTATGAGAAGGCGTTTGACAGTGTGGATCGAGAGGTCCTATGGAAGCTCCTCCGGCTCATATATGACGGAATGACCTGAGGATTGATCAACGGAGGACAGCTTACCTACAGCTTCCAGGTGAAGACTGGAGTCCAACAAGAATGCTTGTTATTCCCGTTCCTCTTCCTCATCGCCATCGACTGGATCATGAAGACATCCACCAGCAAACACAGAAATGGAATCCAGTGGACCTTGTGGAGTCAACTGGATGACTTAGACTTTGCAGACGACCTCACACTTCTCTCCCACAGCCAGCAGCAGATGCAAGAGAAGATCAGTGTGTTGGCAGCTACATCAGCACAGCTTGGACTCATCGTCCACAAGGAGAAGACCAAGATCCTTAAGACCAACTTCAGCAACATCAACCCAATCACCCTGAATGGAAGTCCTCTGGAGGAAGTACAGTTCTTCACCTACATGGGCAGCATCATCGACCAGCAAGGTGGAACAGATGCAGATGTCAAGGCAAGGAGCGGCAAAGAGTCGCCTTCATCTAGCTCAAGAACATCTGGGCTTCCAGAGAGCTTACCTTGACCACCAAGACCTGACTGTTCAACTCCAATGTAAAGTCAGTACTGATGTACGGGTCTGAAACCTGGAGGGCAACCAAAACCACCAACAGAAGAATCCAGACATTCATCAACAGCTGTCTTAGAAGGATTATCAACATTCGCTGGCCAGACACCATCAGTAACACCAACTTATGGGAAAGAACCTGCCAACCTTAAGCAGAGACAGAGATCTGGAAGAGAAGAAGGGGCTGGATAGGGCATGCCCTACGCAAACTGCCAACCAACATCACCAGGCAGGCTCTCAGGTGGAATCCCCAAGGAAAGAGGAAGAGAGGCCGTCCAAGAAACACCTGGCAACACGACCTCGAGGCAGACATCACAAGGATGGGCTACACCTAGAGTCAACTAGAAATAATGGCACAGGACAAAAGTCTCTGGAGATCTACCTTTGGCGGCCCATACCCTGGGAGGGGTGGAGGGCATAAGTAAAAAGTAAGTACTGTTTAGTACATATACCCCAAATAAATCTTGCAGGCATTTAATTAGCGCTACGGAATCTGTTGGCGCTATATAAATGGCGATAATAATTATGCATTTATATATCTAAAAACCGCTTGCAAAACGTGCAGTTCACTTGTCTGGCTTAGGCTTTATGTAGCTGTCCAATCACAGACTTCCCAATGCAGCTCAATGAGACGCCTTTGCAAGGCAGGTGCTCTGGGCAATTGCTGCCTCTTGAGTTCAGTGCAAATAAGCTAACCAAACCAGGAAGTAACAGGACCTGTTGTATGTTTCAAAGTCAAGGGGGTGTAACCAGTATAATTTATAAAAGTGTACATTTATATTGAAATCTGCACTTTATGCAAAATTAAAAAAGAAGACACACTCTTTACACATAAAGCTTATCAACAAGCTAAAGTTGATTAGGGGGTTTGAAGTGTCCCTTTAACCCCTTAAAGCCATTATGGCGTTCTATGCCATCCCACATTAAATGGGCTTTAAAGCCGTTGCGGCGGCATAGAACGCCGTAATGGCTGAAGCCCCCAGGAGCTAGGAGGTACTCACCTCCGCCTCGATCCTCCTCTGGAGGGCTGCCTGACAGCCCAGGCAGTCCTCCCCCGGCAAATGAGGCCCCCGGTGGCCATGTGATCTCTCTCAAAGATCGATCACATGGCCCCCTATAGCTGGCTGTGGCTCTGCCAGCAGGGGGACTGTCTGAAATGTCAGACAGTCCCCCTGCTGGTGGGTAGTGTAAAAAAAAAATATTAAACATGTTTTAAAATAAATGAAATGTGTATATATAAAATATATCTTTCCACTAGTACACAAGATTACTTTGTGTGCACACCGAGCGATCGCGATAGCATGGCTCACACCTGAGGGCCCAGAATTCACAGGGGTTATCCAGAATCAAAGAGTGTAGAATCATGGACGATCTAACTGCAAGTGTGAGAGGGAACATTACGACATTCCAAAAAACATGGGAACCATGGGACAATAGCATAATGGGCTCGAACGGAGCTTGAGAGCCTCGCACATATGGGAATGAACCCATGATATACACATCCGTACGGAAGGTGACACGTCTGTCAATGCCGTGGCTGCGCTGCCCCCCCCACCCTCCCTCCACCCCTCCTTTGCCTCTCGTTTTTTCTCTGGTTTTTCTATCCCAACTTTTTCCTTTTCTTTTCTCTTTCTTCCTACTTCTTTGTTTTTAGTTTCTTTATTCAAGCAGGATCATACGGTCGGAGGAATGATGTAGCTTAAGAACTAGAAAGATAAGCGTACATAATGGCTAATTGATCTACTCACCGGCCTACCCTTGGTTAAAACATAACTTACCCTAATAGACTGGGGGCCCCAAGGGTTTCTAGCAGAAAGCGCATGCAAGGTTCAGGTTGCGTATTATCTCTTTACAAGCTATGTAATTCCTTTTGGCTTCCTAGTGAGCCCACGAGTGTATATACGCCTGTTTTGTTTATGGTGAAAGTTAAATTCCCCACAAGAGAACTCACAGAATTTAAACCAACAAAAAGGGGAATGGGTATGATAAGGTAAAGCCCTCTGTAGACGACAGGTACCAACGTTTTCTTATTTCGAGGAAAGGGCCAATGTTGTATCAGCTGATTTACGATACGTTTTCAAAATTTATATCCAAGTTGGCTTCTGCGTAAGCCCAAAAGGTTATGTAATCCTGCTGTGTCTATTGTGCAAAATCAAAGTTTTTACAAAAAAAGAAAAATCCCTTGGCAGGTAGCCAAATCAGCATATCGTTACCATAATTATTGTATATGCATTGCATTAGCACCTGTATAACTGCAATTGCACTTGCTTACTACTTATCGGGCTTTTGCATAAGCCGTAATGTTCATGTTACCTGGCTATTTTTGTCAAGAGGAAAAAATAAAGAATAAAAAAAAATATATATCTTTCCCCCAGGGATGGCAGCTAGGAACTTCAGAAATCTGGAAAACATAGGACTCCAACGCATATGCCAGATAGTGCAAGGAACAGAAGTTGTCTCGTTTGATGTCCTGCAGCAAAGGGGGCATCTCACTCCAGCAGATTTTTTCAGATACCTTCAAATAAAAGATTTTGTAAGATCTACTCAGATTGGGACGACTGCCCAGAAACCCCTAACTTTTTTTGAACAGATGTGTATACAGGAGAATATACCAAGAGGCTTGATTACGACACTATACGCACTCATATGTGCAGCAGCTAAAGGAGGGGGAGGTTTGACCTATATAGAACAATGGGAGAGGGACCTAGGTGTAGAGTTGGAAGGGATAGAGTGGCAGGAGATTTGGGAGGCCAACCACACGGCTTCTATTTGTGTTAAATTACAAGAACAAGCAGTTAAAACAATGTTTAGATGGTACATGACCCCAGTCAAATTATACCAAATGAGACAGACTCCAACGGATGTATGCTGGAGAGGATGCAGAAAAAAGGGAACATACCTCCATATGTGGTGGGAATGCCCACAGATAGCACCCTTCTGGCTGACAGTTAGAGGTATAATAACCCAGGTACTAAACAGAGCCCCTCCAGTGGACCCATGGGTGTATCTTTTGAGTAGAACTATAGATGGGTGGACTAGGCGTGAACAGAAATTATTACATAAGATAACCCTAGCTACTAGAATAGCAGTGGCATCCGATTGGATCAAACCTACAACACCGCCCATAGCAGGAGTCCTGAATAGGATAAGGGAAGTCCACCTTATGGACGACCTCACAGCCAGAGTAAGGGGAACCCAAAAAACATTTCAAAAAATTTGGGCACCATGGGAGGGTAGCCCACTTAGTTGAGGAGAGACAGCCCCTCCCCCCCACACTATTCTCCACAAATCAGCATAAAATAACTTTTGCTAAAAACGGCCTTAGACAACTGTCACCACTCGACTCCTTTCTTCCTTTTCTTTTTTTCTCTTCTCCTTTCTTTCCCATTCACCTATCTAATAACATTACTACCATGCTTCTTGCGCTTAATAGAGTTACAGGGAGGAGATTAGGACATACTGGATTAGGAGCATGTACTAGAGTGTCACACGAACCAGTATACAACTAGACCAAACCAACAGACTGCCCCTCCTTGGATGGCTTGATAAGAAGCAATGGTTTAACTCTTAGATAACATAAAAAGAAGACAAGAGGTACATTGCGAAAGTAAATAACACATGCAGAGATGTTACCCCTGAATGAACAAATCAGTCAAAAACACTTAAACAAATATCAAGGGGTTGTTACAGAACAAAAGGGAGAGCATATGTTACTGTTCTTCATGCTTTTCAATGCGAAAAATGTGTTTGTTTGTTACTTTGTCATAAACTAGTAACCTCTGTCAATAATAACTAAAGTTTAAAAAAAAAAAAAAAATCCTCGGTAGGAGGCAATTGGGATTAAAAAGAGGCTTGTATTGTAAGATCATATTACATATTGTTTTTCCAAGAAGTTTTTCTCAAATATTGGCTTCTGCGCAAGCCCGAAAGTTTGAGCTGTACTTGCTGTACCTATCGAATGAAAAATAAAGAATAAAAAAAAAAATATATATATATATATATATGTAACGTCATACATAGTGTATTTTAATGTTAATATAAGTATATATATTAGTATTGAAAATAAAATGATGTTACATATATATAAGATATATATAATACATCTATATATATATATTTTATATTTATATATACACGTATAATTACAATAATAAATAAATAAAATAATAAATATATTTTATTTTTTTTTAAATAAATTATATATACAGGGAGTGCAGAATTATTAGGCA